TGACGAGGGACTAGAGAGGCCCAAATGCTAAGGCTAATGGCGCGCCTTTGTCGGAACGTGGTCGACCAAAGAAGTCATCGAAGCAATGTTGGGTCGTCGCGACTGCTTCTTAGGGTTGGAAGTTACTTGGACCGCTGTAGAGTGAGACTCCTGGGTCCGGGTCCCAGTCCCCGAGATACACGCTGATGGATGACTTCACATATAGATCAATACCTTCGTAGGACGGTCCGTGGTAGAAGGCTAGCACGCATGAACACGTTGAGAAACTAATCGGTAAAAGCTCAAAAAGCTTTTAGGTAACAAGAAAGGTTGAAAAGTTAAAATGTTACTTCTATACACAACCAAGCTCGATTTAGGTATTTTTAAAAAGCTACATTTGCTCATTGGGCAAAGAAATTTGATTAATTTAAAACCAATCAATATTTATAGACCAATAGTGGTCGATATTGATCTCAGAATCGATTTGAGAGTGTTCAGGAAGTAATTGATGAATTCCTCATAAACGCCAAATTGGGCTAAACGAAGCTATTTGTTTCAAGAAAGCTTCATTAATAAAGGCTTCAACATAATACATCATAAATGTATCCAGTATTTGAGTTATTTATGATAAATAACAACACAAAGGTCGAAGTTTGCCTTTCAACTTTTAATGAAATCGAGTTATTTCATTATGATGATATGATAAAGAATTTGACATGATAAAAAACGTTAGATTAGAACATTTGCAAATTTGTGAAGTTTTATTACTCGTAAAAGCTCGAATTGATTCAAATCAGACACAAAGTCTGTTTTCATTATCTTTTGGATAAATTGAGGTATTGTCACGTATGATATCGCACAAGAAAGCTCAGTTAATAATGATTCCAACGTAATAGGTCTTATATTTAACATATTTATAATGAGGCTCTTAAGAATATCTAAAAATAGTGAAAAACGGCAATAACTTTTGGCTAAAACGAAATATTTCAATAAGTGATATCTTAAAAGAAACCTTAATTAATAAGGATTTCTGCGTGATATGTGTTAACTCATGTGTTTATCATTAGGTTACTGCGAATATCTTAAAACAGACAAATATGATAAGACTTCTCCCTTGGATAACTTCTGGCTAAATTCCAATAAGTAATATCTTAAAACAAAACTTAATTAATGAGGATTTTAATGTGATATGAGTTATCTCTATTCAATATTTAATGTGTCTATCATTAGATTATTGGAAATATCTTAAAATAGACAAAACAGTCAAAATTTTTCTCTTCAATAACTTGTAGATAAATTGACACATTACAATAAGTAATATCTTAAAAAAAAGCTTAATTAATAAGGATTTCTATGCAATATGGATTATCTCTATCCAATATTTAATATGCCTACCATTAGGTTACTAAGAATATCTTAAAACAGACAAAAAAGTGAAAGGTTACATTCTTCAATAACTTCTGGCTAAATCGAAACATTTCAATAAGTAACATCTTAATAGAAAGCTTAATTAATAAGGATTCCAACGTAATATGTCTTGTCCATACCCAATATTTAATATGTTTATCATTAGGTTACTGAGAATATCTTAAAACCGACAAAAATGTTACGGCTTGCTTCTTCAATAACTTCTGCCTAAATCAAAACTTACCAACTAGTAATATCTTAAAAGAAAGCTTAATTAACAAGGATTCCAACGTAATATGTAATGTGTGTATCTAATATTTAATATACCTATCACTATTCACTAAAAATATCTTAAAACAGACAAAAATGATAAGACTTTCCCCTTCGATAACTTCTGGCTAAATCGAAAGCTTCCAATAAGTAAAATCTTAAAAGAAAGCTTAATTAATGAGGATTTTAACGTGATATGAGTTATCTCTATTCAATATTTAATGTGTCTATCATTAGATTACTGGAAATATCTTAAAACAGAGAAAACAGTCAAAATTTCTCTCTTCAATAACTTCTAGATAAAGTAACACATTACAATAAGTAATATCTTAAAAGCAAGCTTAATTAATAAGGATATCTAAGCAATGTGGATTATCTCTATCCAATATTTAATATGCCTACCATTAGGTTATTGAGAATATCTTAAAACAGACAAAAAAGTGAAAGCTTTCATTCTTCAATAACTTCTGGCTAAATCGAAACATTTCAATAAGTAACATCTTAAAAGAAAGCTTAATTAATAAGGATTCCAACGTAATATGTCTTGTCCATACCCAATATTTAATATGTTTATCATTAGGTTACTGAGAATATCTTAAAACCGACAAAAATGTTACGGCTTCCTTCTTCAATAACTTCTGCCTAAATCAAAACTTACCAACTAGCAATATCTTAAAAGAAAGCTTAATTAACAAGGATTCCAACGTAATATGTATTGTCTCTATCTAATATTTAATATACCTATCACTATTTACTAAAAATATCTTAAAACAGACAAAAATGGTAAGACTTTCCCCTTCGATAACTTCTGGCTAAATCGAAAGCTTCCAATAAGTAAAATCTTAAAAGAATGCTTAATTAATGAGGATTTCAACGTGATATGAGTTATCTCTATTCAATATTTAATGTGTCTATCATTAGATTACTGGAAATATCTTAAAACAGAGAAAACAGCCAAAATTTCTCTCTTCAATAACTTCTAGATAAATTAACACGTTACAATAAGTAATATCTTAAAAGCAAGCTTAATTAATAAGGATATCTACGCAATGTGGATTATCTCTATCCAATATTTAATATGCCTACCATTAGGTTATTGAGAATATCTTAAAACAGACAAAAAAGTGAAAGCTTTCATTCTTCAATAACTTCTGGCTAAATCGAAACATTTCAATAAGTAACATCTTAAAAGAAAGCTTAACTAATAAGGATTCAAACGTAATATGTCTTGTCTATACCCAATATTTAATATGTTTATCATTAGGTTACTGAGAATATCTTAAAACCGACAAAAATGTTACGGTTTCCTTCTTCAATAACTTCTGCCTAAATCAAAACTTACCAACTAGCAATATCTTAAAAGAAAGCTTAATTAACAAGGATTCCAACGTAATATGTATTGTCTCTATCTAATATTTAATATACCTATCACTATTTACTAAAAATATCTTAAAACAGACAAAAATGGTAAGACTTTCCCCTTCGATAACTTCTGGCTAAATCGAAAGCTTCCAATAAGTAAAATCTTAAAAGAATGCTTAATTAATGAGGATTTCAACGTGATATGAGTTATCTCTATTCAATATTTAATGTGTCTATCATTAGATTACTGGAAATATCTTAAAACAGAGAAAACAGCCAAAATTTCTCTCTTCAATAACTTCTAGATAAATTAACACGTTACAATAAGTAATATCTTAAAAGCAAGCTTAATTAATAAGGATATCTACGCAATGTGGATTATCTCTATCCAATATTTAATATGCCTACCATTAGGTTATTGAGAATATCTTAAAACAGACAAAAACGTGAAAGCTTTCATTCTTCAATAACTTCTGGCTAAATCGAAACATTTCAATAAGTAACATCTTAAAAGAAAGCTTAACTAATAAGGATTCAAACGTAATATGTCTTGTCTATACCCAATATTTAATATGTTTATCATTAGGTTACTGAGAATATCTTAAAACCGACAAAAATGTTACGGTTTCCTTCTTCAATAACTTCTGGCTAAGTCGAAAATTTCCAATGAGTAATATCTTAAAAGGAAGCTTAATTAATAAGGATTCCTAAGCAATATGACTTATCTCTATCGAATATTTCATATGTCTACCTTTAGGTCACTGAGAATATCTTAAAACAGACAAAAAAAAGTTTAAGCTTTCATTTTTAATAATTTCCTGCTAAATCGAAACATATCAACAAGCAAAATCTTAAAAGAATGCTTAATTAATAATGATTCCAAAGCAATATGTCTTGCCTCTATCCTATATTTAATATGTCTACCATTGGGTTACTAAGAATATCTTAAAACAGATAAAAACATTAAGGCTTCCTTCTTCAATAAGTTCTGGCTAAATCGAAACATATCAATAAGTATCATCTTAAAAGAAGCTTGATTAATAAAGAGTCTAACGTAGTATGTATTGTCTCTATTCAATATTTAATATGTTACTTACATTAAGTTACTGGGAATATCTTAAAACAGACAAAAAAAGTCTTCTGGCTAAATCGAGCTATTCCAATAAATAATAGCTTAGAAGAAAGCTTGATTAATAAGGAATCAATGTGGTAAGCCATTAGTAGTACTCATTAAAAGTTCAAGTTCAAATTAAACTTGAAGTATTCTTCCTTATCTTTAGGGTTAATTAATAAAGATCCCAACGTAAAATGTCGCACCAGAATCCAATATTTAAATAATTATCATTAAGTGATAAATCAAATAAAATTTAAATCTAAATTCCTTTTCATTTTTTTTTTTAATCTGAATTTCATTCATAATTAGTAAAGCAGTAATAAAAGCCTGTTGTAACTTTTAATAGATTCCGAGACGTAGTGAAACGAAAAGTGGAGAGAAGTCTGAGCGTCCCGACGCCTCTGACGTCACGTCGATGAATCGCGGGCCCGTTTAAAAACTCTCCGTCGTTCGCTAATTATGAATGGATCCGTCCTTCTCTCGTTCTTTCTCTTTCCGTTGAGTCAGGTCGTGGTTCTTCGGAAGAGTCGCTTTTACCTTCTCACTCGTCTTTCTTTTTTCCCTTTTTTCGTTTTTTTTTTGGAAAAGTTGACGGCGCGCGCCGCCACCGTTCCCTAAATTGCTGTTTAAAATTCCAACTTTGTTTTAGCGTCGCGACGGAGGCCGCCGGCGCCGCCACCATTTAAAAATACCACGTCGACGCTTCGCTCTCAGCTGACTTCTCTTCGGCGGTGGTATTTACAATGGTAATTTTTGCACTTTTACTTTCTTCTTACTCGGCGACGACGACGTTAAGTTCACGAGAAAGTTACACGTCAAAAATTTGACTTCGAAACCCAGTTTTGCACTCATTTGTATAAAACCAACATTGAATTTTCAAGCTGATTTATTTAAATAAAAATAGTTTTACAATTTAAATTAATCGCCCATTATTTCTGCAATTTTATCGGCGCATTGTTTATGTAATCGATGATATTTAGCTAAAACCGGTCGGTAATAATACGACTTATAATCTAAATTATCTCTTAGACTGAATATGATTTGACTTTCTAATGCTCTCAATCTTCGTTTTTCGTCTTCTTCGAAAATATGGTGAAGATATTTTTCATAATCTTCTTGAGGATCGGTAACGAGGTACCTCGCTATAAATCGAGTTATGGGATGTTTGTAATATTCCCAACATTTCGGAACGTAATCTTCAGGGATTTCCGATAAAGTTGCTGGTCCGATATAAATATGACAGTACGTTATTAAACCTCCTAGAGGAATTATTGATATTAATAGATACATATTCATCAAATCTTTAAACTTTTTCCACTGAAATCTTGAAGGACCATGCGGGAAAAGATTATGAGAACTCATATAATGTTTTTGGAAATAACTCTTGAAAAGCTTATGATTCAGCGAACTAAAATTAATCATTTTATTTTTTTATTTGACGTTTAGAAAAAAAATGACACATTGTGTTAAATGATAACAAATTGTTTTAATAAAATAAAATTTGCGTTATTTTATTGATTTACACCCACGACACAACGGTTATGTATCGACTTGAATCCCCCGAAAACACACCCCATTCCACGAGCTGTATACTAGCTCCCCACAACTCCCCCAACAAACTCCCGGGGACCGTTGGAGCTTTCGAAGGGGGGAAGCTCCGTTAGCGGTGGCCCTCACCTAGGACGCTAATTAATCATTTCTCTCTGCATTGAGAGCGTTTCCCTGTCGAGGTTATTTATCATCCAGGGTTGGCAGGGAACATTGTTGGCTCCTGGAACACGGCATCCTTCCACGATGGTGTGTGTAAAATGTACAGAGATGTTATAAAAGTTACCACAATTCAAGATATCTACTGTTATAATAATTCCTTAATTATTAATTTAATTATTTTAATAAAATTTAAAAGTGTAACGTTAGTAACTGAATCGATTTTGATAATTTTTATGAACAGGCCCCAAAGTATTGTTTGGATACAAATAGAAACTTTTGATCGGTAGTGTACACCGTTGTGTAGGGCTAAGGTGGGGTGGCAGTGTGGTCCAGGGTAATTACCCGGATTCTGAGGCCACGCCCGGACCAATGGGGGTGCGATCCCACACGGCACGTATCGATCAGAGGGGTGGCGCATGCGTTTGCCGGACACTGGCTACCCCAAAGGGTCAAGGGTCGCACGCGAAACGACAGAAAGGGCTGATCAGAACGAGCGGAGGGGTGTGGCCCCTAAACAACCCCTAGTAGGTAAACCCTTCTCAATAAAAATTGGAGTAGAAAAATAATTTCTGAAAACATGTTTTACGTTAAAACTAATTTTATTACCTATTTGTCTTAACAATTAAAAACAATTATATAAATATCTTTCAAAGCATCCAATTAATCATGTTTTAAAATAAAAATTTGAAAATTCGCACTATATTATGATATTAAATAGTTTATCTTTGGTTTTAGATACAAGAAAGAATCATGATAGGAATAAACATCAAAGAAGGCAACTTTTACATAAATACGAAATCAGAGATTAACAAGAAAAGAAATCGCAATGCAGAAGGAAGTTGATATTAATTTGTTGCGCTACATTTAAAATATAGTTGTATAACCGTTTTTTACATCAATAAACCATATTATCTGCAAGCGTTAAGGTTTTATTTAAAAAACCACAAATAGCACTAAAACACACACCAAACTACGACCCGTTCTGATGAACCATCCGAGGATTGGCATCGTTCCAATATCGAATATACTGTTTATTCTCACATCCTGTACGCTGGAAGTGCAAACTGAAAAACACAATTGTGTCAGTGGTAACGTGTGAAAAAGCGCCGTTTCGCGTGCTTTCTATCGCGCAATAAAATAATAAAATTTAAAATAAAACTTCTATTCACTCTTATACCACAGAAATTTTATATGGCGGATATACATATCTCTCAAAATACGATTGAGATTTTTTTATGTTGTATATAAAAATTTCTAACTTTAATTACATATTATAATTCTTAAAAATTATTAAATTTTACAATTTATCATAACTCCTGGTACAATCTTGGATTACTTGATGATTACGTAAAAAAATACTCTTCGCAAAAAGTGCTAACAACAATCGATTTTGAGATAAAAAATATTTTTTACTAATAAACGTTACAATCTACGAAACTTGATAATATCTTCATATAACAACCTGCAATATCTACACCACTCATTAAATAATAATTTTGAGTACATTTTTTAATTCCTTCATGAATTTTACGGAAAAAGGTACTCTTAATTAATTGTTCTAACTGTAACCAGCTATGAGACAAAACATTTTTTTGATGAAAACTCCAGAAAATACATAATGAAACGATATCTACATTCTGCACCTAATAACACCTACGCCACTGACTTTCTTATAACTCCTGAAACATTTTTGGCTTACTTGATGATTTTTACGTTAAAAAGTACTCTTGATTAATGTTCTAACTATAACCAGTCACGAGATAAACAAAATGTTATGATAAAAACTCCAAAAATTATAACATTTCACGATATCTACATTCTACACCCAGTAATATTTACGCCACTGACTTTATCATATCTCCTGAAGCAGTGTTGGATTACTTGATGATTTTTACGTAAAAAAGTACTCTTGACAAAAAGTGCTAACAACAATCGTTCTTGAGATAATAAATATTTTGTACCAAAAAGACACCAAAAATTTCCAACATGTGATTATATCTTCATTGAACTACTTGTAACATATACACCACTCTTTAAATAATAATATTTGTGTATATTTTTGAATTCCTTCATGAATTTTACGGAAAAAAGTATTCTTAATTAATTGTTCTAACTGTAACCAACCATGAGATAAAAAAAAATTTTGATAAAAACTCTAAAAAATATATAATTCAACGATATCTACATTCTACACCTAATACCACCTACGCCACTGACTTTCTTATAACTCCTGGAACATTTTTGGATTACCTGATGAATTTTACGTTAAAAAGTACTGTTGATTAATGATTGAACTACAACCAGTCATGAGATAAACAAAATGTTTTGATAAAAACCCCTAAAATTATAAAATTTCACGACATCAACATGCTACACCAACTAATATTTACGCCACTGACTTTATCATAACTCCTGAAGCAGTCTTGGATTACTTGATGATTTTTACGTAAAAAAGTACTCTTGACAAAAAGTGCTAACAACAATCGTTCTTGAGATAAAAAATGTTTTGTACTAAAAAACACTTAAATTCACGAAATTTAATTATATCTTTATTGAACAACTTGCAACATATACACCAATCTTTAAATAATAATTTTGTGTATATTTTTGAATGCCTTCCTGAATTTTATGGAAAAAAGTACTCTTAATTAATTGTTCTAACTGTAACCAGCCATGAGATAAAAAAAATTTTAATGAAAGCTCTAAAAAATATATAATTCAACGATATCTACATTCTGCACCTAATAACATCTACGCCACTGACCTCCTCAGAACTCCTAAAACATTTTTGGATTACTTGATGATTTTTATGTTAAAAAGTACTCTTGGTTAATGTTCTAACTATAACCAGTCATAAGATAAAGAAAATGTTTTGATAAAAACTTCAAAAAATATAAAATTTCACGATATTTACATTCTATACCCAGTAATATTTACGCCACTGACTTTATCATAACTCCTGAAGCATTCTTCGATTAATTGATGATTTTTACGTAAAAAAGTACTCTTGGCAAAAAGTGCTAACAACAATCGTTCCTGAAATAAAAACTATGTTGTACTAATAAACGTTACAATTCACGAAACTTGATTATATCTTCATTTAACAACCTGCTATATAGATGTTATATCACTCATTAAATAATAATTTTGAGTACATTTTTGAATTTACTGATGAATTTTACGGAAAAAAGTAACCTTAATTAATTGTTCTAACAGTAACCGATCTTGAGATAAAAAGTATTTTGTACTAAAATCNTGAATTTTACGTTAAAAAGTACTGTTGATTAATGATTGAACTATAACCAGTCATAAGATAAACAAAATGTTTTGATAAAAACTAGTGATGTAACGGATATCCGCATCCGCATCCGCAACTGCGGATAATCCGCATTGTTTTGAGGATCCGCATCTGCATCCGCATCCGCATATATTTTAACTGAGCTCCGTTACAATAAACAATTACTAATTACCAATTAATAATTTACTAATTACTATTAATTACAATAGAAATATTATTTTCATGAAATTTTAGTATGTAACTTTTTTAAAAACTCCGCATCCGTTAAATCCGCATCCAAAAATCCGCATCCGCTTACGCATCCGCATCCGCAAAATTAGAATTAGAAAATCCGATTCCGCATCCGCATCCTCTAAACACACATCCGTAACATCACTAATAAAAACCCCTAAAATTATGAAATTTCACGACATCAACTAATATTTATGCCACTGATTTTATCATAACTCCTGAAGCAGTCTTGGATTACTTGATGATTTTTACGTATAAAAGTACTCTTGACAAAAAGTGCAAACAACAATCGTTCTTGAGATAAAAAATATTTTGTACTAAAAAACACCTAAATCCACGAAATTTAATTATATCTTTATTGAACAACTTGCAACATATACACCAATTTTTAAATAATAATTTTGTGTATATTTTTGAATGCCTTCATGAATTTTATGGAAAAAGTACTCTTAATTAATTGTTCTAACTGTAACCAGCCATGATAAAAAATTTTGTTAATAAACACTCTAAAAAATATATAATTCAACAATATCTACATTCTGCACCTAATAACACCTACGCCACTGACTTTCTCATAACTCCTGAAACATTTTTGGATTACTTGATGATTTTTACGTAAAAAAGTACTCTTGACAAAAAGTGCTAACAACAATCGTTCCTGAAATAAAAACTATTTGGTACTAATAAACGTTACAATCCACGAAACTTGATTATATCTTCATTTAACAACCTGCAACATCTATATCACTCATTAAATAATAATTTTGAGTACATTTTTGAATTTACTGATGAATTTTACGGAAAAAAGTAAACTTAATTAATTGTTCTAACAGTAACCGATCTTGAGATAAAAAGTATTTTGTACTAAAATCAACGAAATTTCATCATTTCATTGCAAATTGTCCATCAAATCTTCATCCTTATAGATTTTTCCATTTGCATACAGTTTTGATCTTTCTTTCAACAAGATATAATGAACGCGGCTAATCCTCTACTCTTTTGCCGAGTTGATGAGACGTATAAAAATAGCGGTGTCCTGCGTGGCTTCATAAATCACCTCGGATGTACGTACAAACTTAAACTGACTTGTGCAAGAATATAAGCACAAATTTGGATAACTTTGAGCTGATTAATCAACAGATATTGCTCCGATTTCTGGAATCATTTCATCATAAACTGAGATTTTTGAGCGGACTTGAGTTCGTTCAATAAACACAACTCAGAGTTCAGACATCATTTACTCAAAAATTTAGGAATTGGGGCATTTTGATAAAAACGTACTTAATTCTATTGAAAAACTCAATTTATAATTTCAGAATTTTGCATAACATTGATGCTTTTACCACGAGATGATTGAATAAGAATTATGTTTACAAGTTCTGGAGCTTATATTTGAAAATTCTAGTATTCCAGTACTTAATGCATGCATTCAAAGTTAGTTTTAATTAGTATCCTACAGTTTTCATATTTTCAGGTTTACATTAGTTTATATGTATTTTTTATTATGTAGCGTTGTGCGGAGAGATCATGTTGCAAATGGCAAATAGCTTTAGCAAAGAATGTGAAAGAATCGCGTTTGGGTTTACCATCATTCTTCTTCTGTTATATTTGTTATTATTACTATGCAAGTACTATAATTTGTACGAAGTAACTAAACATTGCTTTCGAACGTTTAGCGAATTTTTCATGGCTGGCCGAATCTTAACAATCTTCTGAACACACTTGGAACATGACTGATTCAGACCAGTCTGCTGCCGAAACAGAAAACGACGCACCGGTGAGCTCAGAATCAACTTTTACTGGTTAAAATACAACCATTTAGTGGGCAAAACATATACCGCGTCCAAATGTTAGGAAAATCAAAGTATAGTTTTAAAGCTTCTTAAAAAGAAGCGTCAAAACTACGCACGTGAAAGAAACTGCCCAACTCTCAAGAGATAAAGGCGCTAATAGGACTTTTATATATAGCTGATATGAAAAAAATTGCCCATCTGATTGTTGAGGAATTGTAGGTTGATGACAATACGTCTCCGGAATAATTGTTGAAAGCCTTACGTTTCAATAATGTAAATGATAGACTTCAAAGGAAGGCGATTTACATGATTTTTTGAATCTATCCAGGTAATGAACCCGAAGGCTCGAACAACCGTACAGTTTTGACAGTTACTAATAGACGGGTACTTCACATGAGTTTCTTCAAATTCCTCTAATTTCTGTAAACACTAAAGAAAGACACAGTAGTACGTTTGCGTTGTTGAAAACACGAGTTTGGCATCATGTAAACCCAAGATAGATACAGAATATAAAAAGTTTTTTTTAAACACTTATTGGAACTCATGAAACCTCATGTGCATGCTCAAACAAGACTATCAATTCCAAACTTTCCTGTAAAGCAAGATGCAGCGAAGCAACTCATTAGTGGCATGAAGAGTCTAGCGTTGAAGCAACTGGCGTGTGTTCAATAAAACGGAAAAATCAAAAATCAGTGTTGCAAACTCTCCAAATACTTGTGTAATGAACATTAAAAACTTAAATGCCAACAGTGATTTGAACCAGCAAAGGAACGACAGAAGAGTCCCGTTTATTTGCATTTTTTTTTATAAAAAGGTTTGATAGTCATAATAGTTGACTTCACATTATGGATAATAACAGCTACATACTTGTGTCATCCCTATTAGTACAATGGTACAATGTATCTAGATACACTGTGGAGATTTTTTTAGCTAGTTTGGAGCATAAAACCTTCTTCACTGCAGTTAATTCAAACACGAAGTTTTTGCAAGCTTTTCTATATCTTCAGATTCAAAATTTGTTAGAGTTATTATGTTACCGTATTTGTAACGAATTTCAAAACATTTTACTGCAAAACAAATTACTAAGAAACTCTCAAAGATTAATAACGTCAAAAACATATTTTTTACAAACATTTTTCTTTTAACACTTTACTAAAACTTTAGTAAATTTGTTATTGAACGTTGAAACTCACATTTACTTTATTTAAAGATCAATTTTGAGATGTTGTATTAGGCTGTTGGGTAACATTCCTTTCAGATTCATTTTGCGTAGTCCATCCGCTAACATGTTCTTCTTCCTCCTTTTTTTCCGCTTGCCTCCGATGGTACTCATCGATTTCAAATTGGTACTTTGGAGTTGTTATCCCAAATACCGAAGCCAACCATTCGCCCATATAATCGATTGCCGATAAAGTTCCCGTTGCTGCTGCCCAAGATTTAAAAACGAACCAATCTCGCCATGGAAGAGTTTTCTTAGCAAAAAAAAAATGAAAAAGTTTAAGTGCCATCTATTAGGAAATAGCTATATTTGAAGTTTCAAAATGAAACGTTATGGTCTACTCTTTAGAGATGGCGCTAAATGTACTGAATGAATAAAATCCATTCACTTACAGGATCTACGACTTGTTGCTCTTGTTCCGCTGAAGGTTGATCGGTTTCGTCGTCACTAAACTCTTCGACCACACCATCGCTAAAATAAACGACTCGTTTGGGTACTTTCACTTTGACGTTGGTCGAACTCAATTCAGGGATCTGGGACATTTCCATTTTTTTGTTTATTTGTACAATCACTCACGAACACCAAAAAGCTTGGATCCCCACCACAGGAAAAATGATACACTTCACCTGTATGTTTATTGTTTACTTTTGTGTGAAGGGTCGTCTAACTTAACGGTAAAATGGTATCGATTCCGTTTCGCCGTTAAAACGGAGTCATCTCTTGACGGAATTTCACAGTTCTATATGGGATAACTGTTCATGAGAGAGTTATTTAGGCTGCGTATGGGTTTGGAGGTCGGATCCACGGCGAGCGAGTTTTCCGTTTATAGAGTTCGAGTTGAGTGTTTGCTTTTGCGCAAGTTCACATTGTAACAAGTTTTTTTGTGATAAGACGCGATATCGGTTGTGCTAATATTATCTAGATTTAGTGTGTCACCTGTGGTTCTCGTGAGATGTACCTGTAAAAAAAAGTAGAAAAAAGAAACCATAAAAATGCCCACAACGGAAAACGCAACGCTTCAACGAATCCAGAAAGAAATTTCGGAAGTTATCGAAAGAGAAAAGGAGTTAAGAAGCCTTCAAAATGGTAATACAACTAATTTAAATAATAAAAGTGATGAAAGTGATCACGAAAATCAAGTAGAAAAAGTTGATACACCACCAGAAACCAGACCTATTCTTCAACATAGTAAATCATTAGGAGCTTATTCATTTTCTAACAATTCCAATGGAATAAATAATTCCAATAATAACACCGCGCTAAGAAAATTTACTCAAAACCCCGCAGCAAAAGGAGTGATGCATAAATTTATTAAATCGAGAGGAAAACTTACTGCAGCTTCTTTGATGGGATCACAATCCGCATCCTCTTCTCCAAGCAACTCAAGCGCACCTATTTTAAATCCTAACTCCCAAGCCCAAATTTGGAATATTCCAGACTCTTTTGAACCACCAAAAATATTGGATCCATCGCAGTGTATTAGAAAAGGTTTTATTCCATTTGAGGAAAAATTAAAAAAGGAATTGGAAGATTTGCACATGAGGGAAATGGAGTTAAGGTCTGAAAGAAGGAAATCGCAACCCGATTTTAGTTCTTTGGTTGAAATTGAACCACCACCACTATTGGCGGAAGTTGGAATGAAAAAGGCGAGATCAATGGCTCAGCTTTATAACCCGGAAGAGTATAATAGTCTTAGTCCAGGAGCTTCTAACTTAAAAGCTGCGCGATCTTTAGCTGCACTTTGCGACACAAACGAAGAAGAACTTGATGCCCCAGGATCACATTTCCTAATAAATCAATTTGAAGAGATGATTCAAAAGAATCAAGGTGTTAGGTGTTGATTGAAATGGTTATTAAGTCCAAGTATTAAATTGAGATTCCTATTTTTTGTCTTATATTACTAAAAAAAATAAAAATGATAAAAATTTTGTTTAGAGATTTAGATTAGAGTACAAAAAATGGTAGCTTTCTTTCACAGGGTTTAATTTACACTTATTTTTTTGTGTGTTATTATTAAATTCCCACTTTAATATTTCAATTTTTGTATTTATTAATAATATTTATTGGGAATTAAAAAGAGAAAGATCAACGTTTTGATTGATGTAATCAACTTTTCGTTCTTTTTTGAGATTAAAACACATAAACCTGCTAGTCTTTCGAGTTTTTTTATTGTATTAATACTTTTTTGTTTTAAAATACACCGCTTCCAGTGAATTCCAAAGCCGCTTGTTTTACTGCCGTAATCAACGAAAATAATTAATGATTTCGATAACGATCGCTGATAACAAGAGGTCTAATCGATGTAACGCATTTTACACTTAAAACAATTCAACCAAACAGTAAAAACGTTTTCAGTGGTTTTTTTTTGTCGATTTTTCCTTAAATAAATTGTTCAATCAGTTGTTGAATAAAATTATTTTATCTATCGTTTATGAGTATTATTTTTTGTTGACTATTAATTATTATATAATATAATAACGTAGTTGAAAGAATATCTTTGCTAGAAATTGTTAGTATGACTAATATGTAGTACACTATCAACTTCTAAACGGGTTAAAGTATCAATTTGAGTAAAAACCTGCCGATTATATCAACATTTTGTTATCATCTACAATTTTTACGAAAATGAATCAATCAACAATGATCTGAAGGTTTTGAGAACCCACGAATTCATTTTAACTATTTTTATTGCTTTATATGTCTATATACGTAAGTGTATACGTATGTATGTAAACGCGATAACTCAAACAACACACTAATTGTAAGTAGCAGTGACGAAATTTTATTCCTAAGTTATCTGTATCAACTTTGGGATAAATCCTTAAACCAAAAGTAGTACTTTACACATATAAGCCTTTTGATATAAACTAACACTATAATGATTCAAAAAAAGAACATTCCGACATGAAGATTCAAATAAATCGCGTAACCGGAAGTGGCACGTTATCTGAAATTAGCACTTTAAATTAATTTTAATCAAGTGTTGTGTAAGTCTTTAACATCATGATAAACATTGAGACATAAAATTTTAATGATATTGTGTAACTGGAGGCAGTACTTTATCATGAAGATCGATTGATGATGTTTTGCAAATATTGCGTGTATATCAGTCCCATATAAAAAATTCGAGAAAGTGGAGGCCACTCCATTTCATTTTCAAACTGATGCTTTAACCTCTATTTTTTGTAACAAATTAAGTTATAGCACTTATAAGAAAATGAACGTATGTTGTATTTTCAAAGTATTTCTTGGTATACTTTAGATTTTTAATAGATTTCATAGAAACAGGATTTATTTCAGATACATCTGGGTTTTTAGCGGTTTCCAGAAGATTTCTCATAGACTTACAAACATTTCGTGTTCATTTCAATCTTTTGATTAAAAAGAATTAAGAATTTCGTGGATTGATTTATCAGGATTTGATATTAAGGATTTTCAAGTATTACCTGACATTTGTAAGGATTTGAGTCGGTTTCATGTGTCTTATGTCAGGATATCCTAAGATCAGTCTTGCTGGGTGTCTGAAAGGCCTCAATGGAATCTGTGGTGATAGCCTCCACAACTGGGGAGTGCTGCAATCGTCTCAGTATGCCTGCGGAGCTCTATAACAATCTATCCATTACATAGTGGGAGACTGCTCTATTAGATCACATTTCCTATCATACATCATTTTCAAGATTGGATTAGCATATTCGAGGTACTAAATTTTTGAGGACCAACTTCTGCAACAATTTCAAAACAACCCACAAATAAGCACTCGTGTCATTGCCCAGGCGATGCGTACAAGTCGCACATCTCTATGGTCTTCAAAAAGTGCAAGCGTTAATTCCAGCTGATTATCCTAACACAGTTCAATTTGCCGAATGGCACGTGAATAAAATTAACGACGAACCAAGATTTCATAGGAGTGTATTATGGACAGATAAGGCATGATTTACAAGAAATTGCTGTTTTAATACGCAATAGTCACATTTGCAACAAAAGAATATCCTCGTGTCGTTCACAAGTTATATCATCAATGGAAGTTTTCTGTTCATATTTGGGCTGGAATCGTTGAGCATTATGTACTGGGACCACATTTACTGTGCACGGTTTGCCAGAATTGCTTCAAAATATCCCCCTTAATATTTGAAGAAATACTGTTTTCTAACATGATGGTGTACCAGCAAATTTTGGATTAATTTACCAAAACTATCTAAATGTAGAATTTCCAAATAGATTGATCAGAAAAGAGGCGCCTGTTTCTTAGCCTGCACGTTCACCAGATATGACTCAAATTGATTTTGAGTTTTCTAAGGATTCCAAAATACTTTTAGAGACTTATAACGATTTTGGATAAGAGAACATTTTCAACAGGTTTTCAAGCATTTCTGGAATATTTTTAATAATTTTCAGTGATTATTTGAAAATCCTAAAAGCGTTTAAATGTATTGGAGATACAACTAAATTTTCAAGGATTATCAAGATTTTCTAAATAATATCTGAGGTTTATTTATTAAAGACGTGTGAATTTCAAAAATTTTCGATGTATTTCAAAATTTTCTAAAATATTCTTAGTAAATTTCAATGCATTTTTAATAATTTCTGAAAGATTTGTGATTTATTTAGAATCGAATCCATCTGAATTTCTATGGATTCTTGGGCTATATCTAATTGTAAGTAATAAATAGATTTCCAAGCATTTCCTGAGAATTCACAGCATTTTCGAATATTTTTGGAATTTCATTTGTATATTCCAAGAGTTATTGGAGAACACTTGGAATATTTAAAGCCATTACTGTTCATTTGAATTTCTAATGTTTTTGGGATTATATCAGTGAGGAAAATGGAAACGGTGGCTGGAGAAAGATGGCAACTCATACGCTTGAGGAATTGGTGAAAAGTGGGAAAGGTGATTAGTTTTTAGAATATGAGTGGGCGAAGTTTACGAAAGAGGAGGTCAATAATACGAAGAAGGCACTAAGTGCAAGATAGCTGCTGGAATGGATGATATGAATCCGGAGTTTGTATATTGATTGTGGACAGTATGTCACGAATTAGTTGTTCTATAGATGCATGAAAGAAGGAAAATTTCCGATTAATGATACAAGGGAATTATCAGAGTCTCCTAAGCGGTACAGAGTGGTTTCCTTATTTCCTGGTTTGAGAAGTTATTTTGGATAAAGATTCAGTGTAAAGTAGTGTAAAAGACGTGTGAATGTAAATACAAGGTGACTATTTTAGGGATAGGTGAGTGGTGTTATGGATGAATGTTGGGTTTGTGAGAATGCCCACAGGGATCAGTCCTCGGACCAAGATTCTGGAATGTAGTATTGGATGAGCTGTTGCGCGTGGGATTGGATAGTATAGATGTTGTGGGATACGCGGTTGATGTTGTCTTGTTGATAAGAGAAAATACTAAGGCGGACTTGAAAAGTGATAATGCTGGATATTGGAGAATCTCCAAGAATATGTAGAAGGTTTACAAGTATTTCCTGATTTTAATAAAGTTTTAACATTTATGGATAACATTACTTTTATGGCTTATTCTTACGTTGAAATAAGTTTTAGCACATTGAGAAGAGTTAAGACAGCTCAGAGTAGCAATTACTCATCAGGGACTGAGTGCCCATTAAGAGCAGTTGCTTTTTCTGATTATTTTATTAATCCTATGGCTACACATGGTAGTGACAGCACGAGTACAAAATATAAGACAACAATATAACACATATAGAGTATAAAACAAAATATAATACACGTATAGTTAATATAAAGTGGACAGGACAGCTATATGTTGATTGTCAAATTATCAATTCATTCGATCGCCGCTGACGACAGGTTGAAAAAGTTATCTAACTCGCCAAGGTATACTGATATTTCGCACTTTCGGCCAATATGTTCAATCGTTTGGTTTTGTCTACCGCAGTCACACATGGGATCCGGGGTTTGTTCCGTTTGTGAAGTGAGTTATACAAGCTGTTTCATAATAAATGCGCAGGTTCAGCATGTGATAGCTTGCCCAAAAATTTGAAAAAACGTTTCTAAAAACCCTGCATAATCATGTTAGCAATTTTCCCGATGCGGAGGGGCAAATCAAAACCAACTGGCTTGCTAGGTATGTTCAGGTGTCGGTTCACTTCGGAGGTGACAGCCTCATTCTCTTTCAGTCCCCAGCTCCACCCCATCTTAACAACCCACGTCGGGCCACATAATTTCTGAACGATATTACTTCTTTTGCGTACTTGAGCTGTTGTTTTTTTTCAGGTGGGAGTGATATATGAGGTTCTATCCAAGGTCACGGCCAGGTACTTTGGAGTAGGGTTGTGTGCCATAAGATAACCACCAAACGACGAAACTTCGGTCCAGAGTCAGTAATGAGTGAGTTAGAGCTCCTAAGAGCAGAGTACGGCAAAGAGTTCCATGAATAAAGTTGGAGTTCGGTTAAGAATTAGAGTTCGACGGAAGAGTTTTTCCAGTGTAGTTCAGAGAAGTTATTCGGCAGAATGATCAATTTCCAAGAAGTCAGATCATAGCAGTCCCAAAAAGAAACAAAGTCATCTAATTCAGTCCGAAGAGTCGAGTCTAAATGTACCGCAATCCAAAAACCAGAGAGTAAACGCAGACCACAAGAGTCGAAAACTAGAATAGAGTTGAGAAGTGAGATCTTCGATCAAGAAAAGTTACTCCCAAGAGGATTCCGTTGCAAAAATGTGTATCTTAATTTTCTTTAATACTTCCAGAGTGTCTTACAAAGGCTTAGGCACTTTCTCAGCTCTTTCTGATAAGTAAAAATGATAAATGTGTTTTAAAAAGTAAACCACGAAGATATCGAAGCGTTTTGTTATCAAACCATAAAATATTTTGATGTCGACTACGAATATTCCTAAATATGCGATCCATATCTTTGAAACACATGACAAATATGTACACTATTTTGTACTATTACTACAAGAAGGACAATTATATGAAAATAATTGGTGCTAAATATCTCAAAGTGTTTTTTCGTGTCAGTAAACTTTTTGGCTTTTCTAAGAATCTTATCAACTATTAACAAATACAGCCATAGTAGGTTTGGCTCATAGTTAATCGTAATAATTGAATACACAAATAACTACTTTGAGAATAGATACCCCTATTTACAGGCGCACCTTAATGCTTTGAATTTATCTAACACTGTGCTAATAGAATATTTAAGAAAATACAGTTGTTTTATTTATGCTTAAACTATACAGGATGTCCCGAAACACAACGTCAAGCGGGCACCGGGTGAGAGGCCAACCCATACCTGTTCTGGTAAAAATAAGAAAAAAATTCCATGTCCCTTATTTAAGTGGTAATAGATATATTTTTGAAAATGTTAAAAATCGGTCCTGTACATCATATCTTTAGATACTACGGTCAGAAATGTTCGCAATTTAATAGTGATTTTTGTAATAATGTATTCCTTATGAACCATGCTACTGTAGAAGTCACAAATCAAACAACAAAAATCGTTAGTTTTGCAAAAAAAATATATTAATTAGATTGAGTTAAGGTTGAAAGAATTTATGTCTATCAAGTTTGACACACGATTTCTAAAAAAAGGAGTAGTACAACCAGTGATGGGCGCTGGGTAAATACCTGACGGGTAGGTATTTAGGAAATGGGTATTTACCCCGGCCCAGGGTAAATACCCAAACGGTACGTATAAAAGTGATACAAGTAAAAATATATCAGACTCCGAAAAAATGAAGAGGAAGATGATGAAATGGACGTTGAAGACGAGGAATTGTCAACGATCGAAGACGTCATCAGATGAATCTGTCGTAATTTAGATTAGATCAAGTTATTATGATTATTATCATCAAGCCATTGTTAGACATAGGTTTCCCCTATTCTGTTCCATTCGATTCTATTCTGCGCTGTCTGAATCCAATTGTTGAGCTTTGCCACAATGTTGACCACATCATTTGCACCAGTTCTTCTTCATAGGTCTTCATTTCGGTCTTTGCGTTACTTTTAGCCTCCTGGCAGTGGCTACCGTTAATGTTTCGGAGCCTTATGTCATAAGCGGAAACACGCATTGATTGAAAGCCTTTCTTTTCAAATATATCGCTCTTGAAGATGTCCCTAAGTTTCCTGTAGGCTGTTCAGTTTGCTTGTTTGATTATCTCTCGATACACGAACCTCATGGCCAAGATACACATCTGTCAACCCTCTCAATTTCATTATCCCCAATGTTGATGGTACACTTGGGAACAAGATTTGTCATAAATTTTGATTTCTTTACGTCAATATTTAGCCCGACTCTTGCACACACCTCCTTTAAGTCGTTCACCATTAGTTACATCTCTCCAAGCCTATCCAAAATAAGAACTATATCGTCTACGTAGCGTAAAATACTTAGGTATTTGCTATCAACGTTGATGCTTTTTTGGATCAAATCCAGTTGTTTAAATGTATTCTCCAGGACTGTGATGAACAATTTGGGTTCAACATTGTATCGCTTTATTTTACTCACAATCAGCACTTTACTATTTCTACTCTCTTCAGTATTTTTATGCAATTTTACCGTCATTGTAGCATTCTCTTAGATGTTATAAACAAGTTTGGTGTATCGATAATCGACTCTGTATTCTTGAACTGCTTGCAAAACTGCCAACAACTCAATTTAAATTAAATTTTATAATTACCTCTAAATACCCATCTTGGGTAAATACCCCCGGGTATATATCCAGGAAATTTACCTTTGAAAATAAATACCCGGGTATTTAACAACACTGAGTACAACACCCTTGGCAAGTAATTTTAAAAGATAGCCTGTTTAGTCAAGTTTCCAAAATGGTACTTCACTTGCCATTTTTCTTATCATAAAAAATATTATTGCCTGTTTTTCTGCAAAAAACACGTTATTTAAAAAATTCATACTTTTGTATGTTATTTGTATTTACTTTTTATTTCCTCTTAACTTTGTTAGATGTGCCAGTCAACATCTACGAACTACAAAATGTGGTTTCAACAAGATGGTTGCCCTTATGTCTTGCAAAAAGACTCTTTCAAATAAGGTTAACCTAAAGACAAAATTAAACAAACAAATTTATTTATTATTACTTTTATAACATTATTTTCTTAAAACTAAGGCAAATGCTCAAATTATTTGCCGAAAAGATCTTTTTACTAGTTGTGCAAATCTCTTTGCATTTATTTCTGCTGCTGCTGTATAAATATTGTGGCGCAGTTCGACAAGATTTTCAATCGGTTTTTAATACACTGTTTCTTTTATGCGATCCTAATAAGAAAATCAAGGTGATTTAGACCCAGAGAATGAGGAGGCCACGTCCTCCAATCCACCTTTCTGGGTATTCTGTATGCAATTCCGTACAGGACAAGCCGAATGAGCTGGGCATCCATCTTGTTGAAACCACATTTCTCTGTAGACATTGAGTGGCACATCTTCTAACAAACTTGTTAAATCATTTTGGAGGAAATACAAATAACATACGAAAGTATGAATTTTTTAAATAACGCGTTTTTAGCAGAAAAACAGGCAATAATATTTTTTAGGAAAAGAAAAATGGTGAGTGTTATACCATTTTGGAATCTTGACTAAACAGGCCATCTTTTAAAATAACTTGCCAAGGGTGTTGTACTAGTCCTTGGTTAGAAATCGTGTGTCAAACTTAATAGACATAAATTCTTTCAACCTTAACTCAATCAAACTGATACTTTTTCTTGCAAAACTAACGACTTTTGTTGTTCGATTTGCGACTGCATAGTAGCATATTACCACTTAACTAAGGGACATGGAATTTTTTTCTTATTTTTACCAGAACAGGTATGAGTTGGCCTCTCACCCGGTGCCCGCTTGACGTTGAATTTGGGGACACCTGTATATTTTAAATTTAAAAGTCATCTAAAAACGTTTCAATTTATGATGTGTACTAAATGCTGTATTATAAATGACTTATTGAATAAACTATTTTATCTCTCCTTGGAAAGTATATATTTTTAATTAAGATTTTTTCATTAGATAAAAAGATCTTATAATAACTGAATTATTTGAACTATAATTATTAAATGAATTATTGTCGAAATCTAAGGAATAATTTTAAAAATAAAAATTTAGTCACGTAATAAATAATTTGTTGATGAGTTAATCTTAATTTTTTTATAAAGATCCCATTTTTCCTTGATAACAAATCATATAATTTAGATAAGAATTTGTATGAACTCAAAAATTATTAATGGACTGCTAAATCAATTAAAAACAAACTATAATAATTAATATAGCTCCAATAAAAAGGCTATTAAAGTCTTAACTAATCTATTATTTAAACAATTTATTTTCAAACACTTTGTAATTAATAATTACACAGTATCATTTTATTATTTGCAAACATCTTGTTTAAAAATAAATTCACAAACATACTTATTTCCTATATCACAACTTTTCACACATGTGTAAACGGCCAATATACCCCAATCAAGAACGCAATCTTTAGATAATAAATTTAGAATTTGTGGCATTATTTGAAATTCAAATTGTCGAGGTTCTCCACAATTATCACAATTAGGAATTGACTCAGGAATGGGTTCTTCAGCTATCCAAAGTGGTTCACCACCTCTTTCATATCTTAAAATTTGATCGGGATAATTCTTGATGTGTTTTTGAAATTTTTGAAATGTTTTATCGGTAATTAAAGATGAATGGGCTTCAATTTCTTCTTCTGATATATCTTGTAAGCTTAAACCTTGCAATTCTAATTCTTTTAATTTTTCTACTTCCTTATTTTCGTCAATTTCTGGTTTTAAATCAATTTCTTCTTCTTCAATAACTATTTTATACTCATCAAATAAATGTCTTGATTTTTTCTTTTCAACCATTTCGCCTTTTCCACAAAGTTCTTTATGATTTTCTTTCCAATCCATAACTTGGTGTTCTTTACAACAATACATCACTTTTTTACATTTACTACAACATTTATTAGCCTTTCCTCCACATAATTCACACAATTTCACCCATTTCGATACAGAAAAATCTGTATCATCATTTTCATTTGGTGGTTCATCGGAATAAAAATCATTTTTCCTAGGAATGTTGCTTCTAAAGACTTTTATTGTATCAGGAGTATTTAAAGAACAATTCATACATACGAAAATAAATACGGTTCGGTGGAAATTCTTTTCGTCTTCTTCAAAAGGGGCATAAACTTGGCATAAAAACGATGTGGGTTGATTGCAGGATTTACATTCTAAGTTTGGAACGTTTTCTAACGATAACCAAGCTGGCTTTCCACCGATTTTACTTGGAAAGAAATGAGATTGTAACTCTTTTAATTGAGATTTTTCTGCAAAGCCTAAATCTACACGTGATGACATTTCGAAAGTGAGGTTAGAAATATTTTAAGGTTATGTTTACAATGATTGCAAAATATTGTAAAGTCTAATTAAAAAAATAATTTTTAAATATAGCAATAGAGTACAATAAAGGAAGGAATACAGTATATATTTATGAAATGCAATAGAATTTTTAAAATTTGGAAAGAAATTATTTCAAATTCATTTGATGCTGCCATCTCTTGGCAAGTAGTTAAACCGTTATGCATGAGCAAATCGTGCAATTTACAAATAGGGGTTTTCCCAAATTATTACTTCCGGAAAATTGGAATCACATAATTTACGTACTTTATTATAAACCCTGTTAAATCTTTGCTGGTTTTAGTCTGTACCTATTCGATTTATGTGAATATAGTGATATTAATGTGTACTTTCAAAGAGTTCCTTAATTACCGAAATGAATAAATAAGTAATGAACTAAATAATTATTCAATTCTATTTTTTAATACGATTATTTTTCTTAATAACACTTCCTCAGTCTTTCAATTAGTAGCAGTAACGTTGCTATAGATTATGAAAGAGTCAAACCATTCAAAACCGACCTACATTAGCTATATCTTGGTCATTAATTTGATTATAACAAAAGAACCACTGAATCGATTTTGATAAAAAATGTCTCATTCGAAAGCTGAATTCTTAGCCAATACGAAAGTGGAAATGCCCGATTCGAAATCTCTTTCGAATTCCGCTAAAACGCCAAAATATTGCGAAGGTACACGAAAATAACACAAAAACACCTTCTTTAAGCACTCATAACTCGTAAACGATGTACTCGATTATCAAGATCTATACGTCATTCGATTCGTCATAGTTTCTTCTATTGAAATCACAAAAAGCCCGATCTCGATTCTTTTCCGTTAACCTTGTACAGCCCTCGGAATGACACCGTCTACACTCAATTTCAAATTATTTCATGTTTTGACAATGTTAATAATTAGATCTTTATAATTTTTCAAGCACAAAATGTAAAAATTTATTGAATGGTACCGTTTTTCAAGCACAAATCCAATGAGTAGCGTTCAAACGGTTTTTATCTAGCGTTCAAATCGAAATATCCCGATATGTTTTGGTAAATTAATAAAATTGAAAACGACTCACCGAATGGATGTTGCTTCCCTTGGATTTTACTTCGAAGCTCCGCTGGAAAGAAAAGATAAATTAATTTATTGTAATAAAAAAAATGAATTAATACGATACCTTTTAACATCCATAAAATAGCAATCCGATGATCTCCACATCACTAATATCACCTAACACTTAGCACAAATATGGCACGTATTTATGAGCAAATCATGCAATTTACAAATAGGGGTTTTTCCAAATTATTACTTCCGGAAAATTGGAATGACATAATTTACGTACTTTATTATAAACCCTGTTAAATCTTAGCTGGTTTTAGTCTGCATGTATTCGATTTATGTGAATATAGTGATATTAATGTGTACTTTTGAAAAGTTCGTTAATTACCGAAATGAATAAATAAGTAATGAACTAAATAATTATTCAATTCTATTTTTTAATACCAGTATTTTTCTTAATCACACTTCCTCAGTCTTTCAATTAGTAGCAATAACGTTGCTATAAATTATGAAAGAGTCAAACCATTCAAAACCGACCTACATCACCTACATCTTGGTCATTAATTTGATTATAACAAAAGAATCACTGAATCGATTTTGATANTTGCAAAATTCGAAAAAATTGTCGATCATTTCAAAAATTTATTTCTCAAGAACTAAAAGTGATTTTTCAAAACGGCTTGTTGCATTAAAATGGGGATACTTTATTTAATAATTGGTGATATTTCCACAAGGATCCTACAAGAAATTAATTTTATAGCGAATTTTGAAAATTATCGATGAAAATTGCAAAATCGAAAATTTTATCAAAACTTCAAATACTGTTTTCTCAAAAACTAAAAGTTATATTTTAAAACGGGTTTGTTCATTGGAAAGAGGACACTTTGAGAAATTTTCATAGTCATGTTCCAAGAAATGAATTTAATACGAATTTTTAAAACTTAATCGGCGAAATTAGCAAAATTCGAAAAAATTTGCGATCATTCAAAAATTTATTTCTCAAGAACTAAAAGTGATTTTTCAAAACGGNCATGTTCCAAGAAATGAATTTAATACGAATTTTTAAAACTTAATCGGCGAAATTAGCAAAATTCGAAAAAATTTGCGATCATTCAAAAATTTATTTCTCAAGAACTAAAAGTGATTTTTCAAAACGGCTTTCTACATTGAAAAGAGGATACTTTAATTAATAATTGGTGATATTTCGACAAGCATCCATGAAGAAATTAATTGTGTAGCGAATTTTGAAAATTATCGATTTAAATTGCAGCATCGAAAATTGTATCAAAACTTCAAATATTGTTTCCTCAAAAACTAAAAGTTCTTTTTCAAAACATGTTGGTTCATTGGAAAGAGGGCACTCTTATTAACACTTTGGGAAATTTTCAAACTCATACTCCAAAAAATGGATTTTATACGAATTCTTAAAACTTAATCGTCGAAAATTGCAAAATTCGAAAAAATTGTCGATCGTTTCAAACATTTATTTTTCAAGAACTGAAAGTGATTTTTCAAAACGGCTTTTTGCATTAAAAAGAGGGTACTTTAATTAATAATCGAAAGTGATAACAACGATAATTCGCTTAGTAATGAATGTGATAATAAATTACAAGCGAAGAGAAGGAAACTAGATGAAACTGCAACACGTTATTGCAATATTACTATTACTACTTATTATTACACAATATTGCCTCATATGTCTAGATTACTCTAGATAGTATTCCAATAATTCTTATATGTATAATTGTTATAGATGTTACAAGGTACATCATCTACAACAAAAAGGGAAGATATCTATAGTTAACTAAAGATATCTAAGATAGTGTCTTACAAGCTGAAGTTGCTTTTGTAATTTAATTGTTTTTAGTCATCAATACTGTACACATTTATTATGTGATTAATGTTTTAGGCAACATCTTAATATTTGATTTGTGAAAATATCTAATCCGAAACGAATTCTTTCACGATTATAATCTTAATAGATTTTTTAGTTAGATGTTGCTTCTACAAATTATAAATTTTTTCAACCATCATATGATATAATTTAAATTTGATGACAAGTACATCAGCATACTAATAAACACAACTTCTATCCATAAATCTAAGGCCAGTGTGATGTCATAAACATAACTATGACAGCTTATTGAGTTGAAATTTCAGTCAAATAAAGCAAGAATAATAATTCGAACAATCTTATATTCTACATACCTTGATGACTACATTATTTAATTAAATTATTTATAAAATAATTTGTTTATATGTTATTTAATTTGAAATTAGAAAATTTATTAAATTAGAAGTAAAATGCCATCTATTATCAAGACGATAAAGTGACACTTTTTTAAATTTATTCATTATATGTAGTACATCATGACATTTATTTATTAATATCTAATAAAAAATTTAAAATAACCCAATTTTTATTTAAAATGATCAATAATTAACAACATTAATCATAATTCGAATCAATAAATGCACTTTTCACTTCAGATTTCGAAACAAATTCAAAAATTGCTTATTTTGTATAACTTTAAATAAACAACTCGAAATTAGGGCGTTTTAAAATCGTTTAAATGGAAGAATTGTCGATTATATTATTATAATTATATTATTATTTATAACTTTTTATTAAATTTTATTTTTTCTTTAATCAAACCAAATTACAATCGAAAAGTTTAGAAAAACATCTATGAGCGCAAAAGTGTTCAGTTCTACTAGGAATACAGGTTGCCTCGTTAACCTTGGCTCTTTAAAACAATAAATATATATGCATGCTCAGTTCTGGATGTAAAGCGAAAGAAGTAACATCTTTTTATTAACCGTGACCAAAATTTAAAAAAATAAGTAGTTGATATTTTTTTATTTTAACTCCAAAATGTTTCATTTAAAAAAATTCGTGCTTGTTTTTTGTGTTTTAAATCACATAAATGGTTTGTTTTGAATCATTTAAATTTATTTAAATTAAAAAAAAATATATACATAAATTTTTAGGACGTGTTATAAACTTCGAAGATCCGTGGTCTTACGAAATACCACCTCACAATGATCCTTTATTAAATGAGGGAGGAAGTAATCATATTTTACCTCCAATGAAAGAACACAAAGTACAAATTTTAGTGAAATTTCGATTTAAATCTTTTTGAGTTAATCTGTTTTTGTTGTGTGTTGCAGGCTAAAAGTTTTGTTCGGCTTATAAATGCAAATAGAGTGGATATGAGTAAAGAATATGGAAATTCTGTTCGTGAAAAACTTTCATGTTCAACTTGTAGAATTGGTAAGTAAATAATTTAACAAAGATTTGTTAAAAATGTTGTTTTAAAAAACCCGTTTAAATTGTTATTTTTTAATTTCAAATGTACGTAGTTGTACAATTAAATTATTTTTAACCCGATGTATCAACAAATTAAACTCGGACCTTGATACATAACCATTAACAATACCCAGGTTTTGATTTCACCTACAAAAATGTTTATCTTTCGGTTATCACACGATTATTGCATAGTATATAAGTGTCTCTACGTATATCAAATATTTGTTTTAATAATAAATTTTCTCAGAATATCAATTCATAAATATTTAATATATCTAATACGACGAAGAAATCTTCCTATTTTGGTAATTTAAAATATGATTAATCAAAAATTTCGAAATTTAATTGGGACATCTTGTCTGGATTAATTAACTATTACAAAAAAAGTCATTAGTGACGATTAAAAAATTAAAGTGGTGTTATCACCACATTCTTATAATAAATGATTCATTATTTTTTAAATTGATCAATCGATAAAATGATTTAAAATTAATATTTTAAATCGAATGTTTTTCTGACGTCAATAAACTTAGAGGAGAATTTCCCTCATCGTTTTTAAATTATTAACTTGAAAATCAACAGAGGAAACCGCAGGAGTAAATAACATGAAATTAAAATGCGAATTGGTGTCATCGTCAATGTCAGTGTTGATTTGAACAATTTTATTTTCTATATAATTTACAACTTAACATTAAAAAGTTACTTTAATAAAAAAAAAATATTATTTTTTACTTTAGGTACAATGCTTTTGCAAGGAGCAATCCTAGATGGATCTTCCTTTGAAGAAATAAGAACTCAATTTGTATCAATTTGCACCAGTTTAAATATTGAAAACGAAATTGTTTGCACTGGACTCTTCAACACTTTCGCTCCAGATTTCTTACCAGCTTTAAATCTAACAGAAATTAGTAAATTCAAACAAAAAATTAATGCATCCAAATATATTAAGATTTTTTTAGGTGTTGAACAAATTTGTAGTTTAACCGTTGGCGAACTTTGTGGTGATATTGAAAATCCTTTGCATGAATGGGACATTAAATTACCCGATAAACCAAAACCACAATTACAACTTGCCGAGTTACCATTGGTAAATAAAATATTTTTGTAGTGTCCCATTAAATTTTGTTTATTTTATATTTGTTTTCTTGGAAAAAAACCAGAAGGATTCCCCAACTTTCAAGGTTTTACACTTAACAGACGTTCATTATGACCCGAATTACGTTCAAGGTAGTCCAGCAAATTGCGATGAACCCATGTGTTGCCACGTTTATAGTACTGTTGAAGATGACGAAAGAGTGATAGAACCAGCAGGAAAGTAAGAAATTATTATAAAGAGTACAAAGTGTGTCCCCGGATTAATCATCACTGCAAAAAAATTAGTATTACGCTGCAACTCGGGATGTCGTAAACTAAATACAACCAAGTTTCAAAGTAGTGAGCAATTTCGTAATCATTACAGATAATTTGGAGATTGTGTTAGAATTACGATAAAATCTCAATCGTAATTTTCAAGAATTTTCATATTTTGCAATAGAATTATCGAATCATCTGTTCACTATCGCAATATCATGACTTTAATCAACGTCCGATATCCTTTGTGCTTGTGTAAGAGTGGTATAAAGAATTCTTTATTAGCTACTCACCTATATTGGTTATAAATAAGCTATTTATATTAATATACAGGGTGTTACATACAAAAATGTTGGACTGGCTATACATGGACGGTTTCTACAACTAATAATAATTATTATATTTTGCTTAAGCAAACAAGTTTATATAAACATATGTCCTAAAATGGTTCGTTACTGAGTTACATCCACTTGAAGTTTTTCATTTTTTTATTTAAAAAAGGTGAATCATAAGAAATGTTCAAAATGACCTCCATGGGCAGTAACACACTGCTGAGCTCGTCGTGCCATGGATTGCCTCACGCGCTCAAAAAGTCCTGGTGTATTTCGAATTTGCTGACATCCATCTTCCACTCTACGTTGAAGATCCTCAATATTTTGAATTGGAGTCCAATCCATTTTCCAGGATATACGGCATTTAAAAATTCGCGTGCTGTGAAACTGAAGTGAGCCGGTGCACCGTCATGCATGAACCACATGCGTTCTCTAACATTTAATGGAACAACTTCCAGCAACCCTGGTAAGCCGTTTTCTGAAAAATAACGATAATTCTGCCCAGAAAGTCGTCGGGGAAGTACAAAAGGACTAATCAAGAAGCCGTTGATAATTCCTGCCCACACATTTAATGAAAACTGTGCTTGATGTAATAGCATAACGGGTTTCTTCTTGCCACTGGTGTAAACTATAAAAATTGACGATACCATCTTTTGTAAAGCCAGCTTCATCACTAAAGAGCAGACACGTCAGAAAAAGACGATCGGCGGCGCATGTCTGTAACAACCACACACAGTAAGCTTCTCATGATGGGAAGTCATTCTCACTAAGCCCCTGTACTCTTTGCAGGTGGTACGGATAAAGCTGATTTGTTCTTAAAATCCGCCACACACTCACATGATCGACAACTTCCGCCAATGCAATTCGAGTACTAGCACCTGCATTTTCTTCAACACGATCCAACACACTTTCTTCCAAGTCCAAAGTTCTTGTAGTTCGAGGTCTGCCGCGATCTCGGACTACTGGTTTGAAGGCTCCTGTTTCCCTTAATCTAATATGAAGCCTTTCGAACGCCTTTTCATTTGGTAAACATCGGTTTGGGAAATAGTCTGCGTAAAGTCTTCTTGCTTCTATTCTGTTGCAATGTGCCAAACCATACATTAAATACATGTCGGACATTTCTTCGAAATAATAATCTGCCATTTTATACTAGACTGAAAACAAAAAGCACGGACTGCCTACTTAACATTGATCTGAAAAGCTTTAAGTAAATTTCTTTAAATTCACCGCTGTAACTCAGTAACGAACCATTTTAGGACATATGTTTAGATAAACTTTTTTGCTTATTTTTAGTTGTAGAAACGATCTATGTATAGCCAGCCCAACATTTTTGTAACACCCTGTATAATCGGAACATTTAGGTTGAATATTATCAAAAGTAAATTAAATAGGAAAAGTGTTCATTTTAAATGTCTTCAATTTATTTCGAACATTTGCACTTGATGGATAGTTCAATGTTCGTAATCATTGTGCGTTCGCTTTAAACACATTTTTTACATTGTAGACCGATAGATAACATATTTGATTTCATCCCGTAGCGATATGGTCTTAACAAAACCCAAGGTCAGCGATGTAAAATATGCGATATATAGTCGACATTCTGTATCATTGAGGAAGCTCAATGTTGCATGTGTAATCGATAGTGTTAGGTAAAGATTTCCATTAAAATCCTAATACCAGTTCGATCAAGTTCTAAAGTTCATCTCATGTGAGGAGAGTTGGTCCAATGTATATTACAAATGATACATTTATTTGAGGTTCTGATCTGACCAGTGTTGATCACCATTAACTCATTGCCAGCCACGCCGAAGTGATCTTGTACCCAAATTAAAGTAATTCTGGTGTTAGAACGCAATGAGTTTGATGTTCTCTTGCAACCTTAAACCAGAGACGAAACCATTTTAACGACAGCCAAGGGTATGAGTTAAATGTTTCTATCGTTCAAGATCAAGTCTCAAGAAGTAGAACCATAAAAAGAATTCCCAGGTAGTAGTGTTGTTATCAAGTCCAACTATTTGACTGCCTTGATGAGCAATAAAACCTTCACCAAGATGAATTTCGGACTAACTGCTTAGAATCTATAGATACTCGTCACAGCCTCTTTCTCTATTTGCAAATTCAGAAGACATTTTCTAAGCAAGAGAAAGAATCCGTTGGGTGTGTGAATAGATAGCCGAAATTTGTTGGGCTTTCCCATATCAGACAACTACGTCATAGTTACATACAGTCTTCAAGCTCCAATTTGTACCCGAAGAATTCTCAACAAACGGGAGTTTCAAGAAAGAATTTTATCTAGGGTGACCACTAAACATACATATATATGTATTACCTCGTTGATTACCTTTACCCATAACACAAAGACCTTGTAAACCTATTGGCATATATCATCTCTCCACAAAATGAAATATGATCAAGCATTTACGGCCGTAATTTATCATAGTTGATTTCAATCTGCTATCCAAGGCTACCTTTCTAGAGATTGTGGTCTTGCCTTATTAAATATACCTTCAATCTGAAAAAGGTGCAAACCAGAATCTTCGTTTTACTTAAGAATCTGGATACTGTAGCCACTACATTGTATAGAACTTTAGCTGACTTTCTCGCTTGGTAAGCATACTGATAGAAACTTAATGGATTGTACGCCAGATTTGCTCAGTTGCTATTTCAATTTGACCACAATCTTTAACAGTATATGAACAATATTAATAACAACATCTTGATTATCAATAAGTTACCTCTTAAACTCTTCCTGGTTGGTGCCCCCGATGCATATTGTGGGGTCTAGCGGCAAATCAATTTAAAATTGAATATGAACATGCCTATGGTCTGAACATAATGGATCAGAAGGGATCATCCATTAGATGCTCTATGAATTTGAGATAAACATTGTGTCTAAAACCTCTGCTCTATTTTTGACAAAAAAGATCACACAATAAGGACTCAAAAAGACACTCGTCTCTATAATTGCTTTAATCATTGCTCTAATAGGGCTGAACTTCGCTATGTGATGCCCGTAATTAATACATACAGCCAGCAATTAGGAGAAGATCAAGGTTCCCGAGAAATTTAATCTCCACAGATGACACAGTGAAGAAGTTGACTGCTTTGAGGCGTTTAATCTACCCTGAGTGAGATTTTACAAAAATAGTGACATACATCTACTTGAGGAAATCCTCTAATTAAACCAATTTAAGGGTGGCATTATCCGTCAGCAATTTATTAAACAATTCTTTGTTTCATAATGCTTTCCAATTAACCACTGAGAGTAAAAGAAACTTTAAGCTGTATAAAATCTTAATAACATCCAAGAAGGCCGTTTTATGGAAAGCAGCTTCTATATCTGCAAAACTCCCAAGGCGGTCTCTTTAGAGTCCAACACCTGTATGAAAAAGTTGATCAGTCTGAAAGCTGTTGATTAAGATCTAGAGACTTATGTAGAAGTTAGAGTTACACTTATTTGTCAATGACATAATCCCAAGGTTTTCAATAAAAATATTAGATTAATAGATATTCTATAACAACTATGGCGTATGATGCAACACATATCCATCAGTTGTATATAAGTGCTCGTTGATACAAGTATACCTTTGAAATTTTACTGGTATTCTACATCAGCTGAACTAAGACTTAGATACTTAAATATAAGTATGCTGAAAGTATGAGTGTTTTGCTGAGGAAATAATCTCGGATATGTTACGTTATTCTAAAGCCATTTTAATAAAGGAAACGCAACGATTGACCGCAAAGTATAACTGTGTCAAATTAATTAAAAATATCAATAATGCTTATAAAATCGTTTGATGCCAACATTCATTACCGTGATAATCACCCAAAAGAGAATTTATGCCACATTTTCAGTTAACTAGTATAATGACCTTATAATCAATCAATTTTACTTATTTTAATTGCGTACATTACTCAAATATTTTGTAACAATTATCGTTTCAGTAGAACCATAATTACTTGAAATAATTAGTTTGAAATTTTTTGTATTTACCAATTATGTAGATATGTGCAAATGCAGTGAAAAAGTGAATTGTAATGATAAAGCTAGAGCAAGTCATCTATTAATCTCCAGATAATATCAATCATAAGTTGTTTCACAAGTAATACTTAGCCCCGAACTAGTTTTATAGATTTATGCGATGAATTATCACTCAATTATAAAAAGCTAACTCCAAAAAAGGTCTCCATTTCCTACGTCTAATGGATGGCTTTTACCATCCTCCTGATAAACTACCTAAGGGATAATTACCATGGTTACAGCGGTTTTAAGCTCTCTCATTGCCCAAGAGCGCAAATTTATATATCGGATAAATTTATCAAGAGGTGGTAAAACTGGTCCTGAATAAACTTTTTAAACCAATTTTTATAAGTTTAAATTTTTATTTTCTCAAATATGCTTAGCTTATTTTTTATATTCTCTGTCATTGTATGTTTTGCTTCCGTAACACATAGTAGATCTTATATACTCTATGTTTATTGTTATTATAAACATTTTTTGCTATTAGTCTGTACGATAGTGCAAAGTAAGATCTGTTAGTAATGGTGATTCCTCTAAGACTCTAAGAATTCTTTTTTTTTCTTTCCATCCGATCTTAGTTCCGTTCCCAAGTATACCAATGGGTAAACTTACGTTATTGATATGCTGCATATATCTACTGCAATGCGTGTGGGTCGTTAATATCATGGTTTTTTGCGTATTCCAAATAGATTTTATTTGTTGTAGATGCCGACTACTAGACTCTCCCTCCTACTTCGTTAAACTCACTTTGTCTTTTCCTGGTTCTTCTTTGTATGTATCTCACATGTGACCTATTTCACTCAACGAGCTTGATTATTTTTCTCTTTGCTGCCCATTGTTGTTTTGGCCATTTCTTTGAGTACAGTCTTGACATTATTCCAGCAATCCTCGACACTAAGATGGTTTTACAGTCTTGATCTTATTTCTCTGTCTAAGTTTGTTTTTACGTTTGGCAACTGTACTCTATCTCTATCAAGTTTCTCTTTCTTTTTGTCCCTGTGAATACTAATCTTGGATATTCGACATTTGAATTTTGATTGTACCAGAAAAAGAGCTGAGTCATAATATGCCCCTTTTCTTGTTTTTGCATCTAGGATCTATTTGGTCTATTTGGTTTATTATACTTTCATTCGGTGATATCTATGTTGTTTTGTGAATGTTTCTTTTCATACCTTGGCGTTGAGTAGTTATCATATACCTTTCTTCAGTATTCCTGTGCCTCGCGTGTACATTTTCGGCCTCCATATTAAAATCCAATTCCGCCACTTTACCTCCTCCTATCTTACTATATGGCCCGCTCGTCTCCACTTCGCGCTGGCATTTCTTTTTATGACATCTTCCACTTTTTTTTGTTTATCTTTCTTTTTTCATGCATTCCAATTTTCCAATAGCTGCCCGTATTAGCCGGATTCTTCCAGTTATTTTAGACGTCTGGTTCGCTATGCCTGTTTTGAATGTGTGAGCCAAGTAGTTAAAAACATATACGTGGAAAAGATTGGTTTTATTCCTTTATGCAACAGAATCCAACTTTAATCACTATAAATGGTAGGTTACTATAACTGTTGGTGTTTAAGTGGCTGATATTTGCCTCCTTTCCCCTACATGCCCGGACTTTAGAGTCGTGCATTTTTTACCTGCTGGTCTTGTTTCGCTGAGACCGTGAATGTTATTCAGTTCTTCTTCTAGTTCTAATTGATGTTTTATAGAACACTTCGTTTGTATATTGTACGTGGCTAAATGGTTTGGGCCAACTTTTGTCTCCACCAGAATCCATGAGGCAACTCCCTTCGAGATGTGGGATTGAACAGTAATGATGTATTATCTATCAGGAGTACTTTCCTGTTCGCTTAAAAGTTTGTCGCCATAATCTTCCACGTTGTCCAGGCTGAAACCATCTGTTTCAGGAATAAAGTTTTGAAAGGATTAGAACTAGATTTCTGCTTCGAAGAGTTGAGGAGGAATCTATACGAATATTTTTTTGCTATCCCTGGCTACGGAAATTAATTATCCACGTCTTCTTTACATTTGGGATTTTTTCGTCAAAATACTTACATTCATTTTCGCTTCAGAAGGAACCAAAAACTCAATATGGAGTTCTTTGCTAATTTTTTGAACATAGCTAGCTCAAGAAAACCTTTAATTCTTTGTTCTGAACCACGATTGAAATCAAATTCCTGACATTAACTTCATCATATTGACAGCATTTAATATAAAACTTTGTTCTACTTCCGGTTATATGTTAGTAATATACAATAATTATTATCATTAAGTATAAAAATATGATATAATTGGGGGACACACAATACAGAATTATTTTGTAATATGAATTATTTCTAGATGGGGAAGTTATTCAAAATGTGATATGCCAAAAATTTTTATAGAAAGTATGTTAAAACATATTGCAGAACAACATCCGGTTCGTAAAATGATCCAAAAAGTTCGATAATATATAATTTTTTTAATTAATTAGGATATCGATTATATTCTTTGGACCGGAGATTTACCACCGCACGATATTTGGAATCAAACCAAAATGGGTAATTTGAAAATAATTCAAGAATCTGTTGAGCAAATGTTGCGATATTTTCCTGAAACTCCAATCTTCCCAGCTGTTGGAAATCACGAAAGCTCACCGGCAGGGAGGTATATTTTTTATATTTTAGTTTTAAATATTGAATTTGTTTAATACTTTTTTTTATTTTTTAAGTTTTCCTCCACCTTGGATGACAAACCAAAACAATTCAATTTCATACCTTTATGACACCTTAAGCGTAAACTGGCGAAAATGGTTACCTTCCTCGATAAATTCCACAGTAATCCATGGAGCTTTTTATTCAGTTTTGCTTCGACCAGGATTTCGGTTAATTTCAGTCAATTCAAACTATTGCATTTCATTGAGTTGGTAAGTTATAATTAATTAAAAAAGAATTAAAATAAATTTGATTTAATTTTAGGTTTTTAGTGGTTAATAGCACAGATCCGGCTCAAGAATTAAAATGGCTTGTTTACGAACTTGAACAAGCCGAAAACGCCGGAGAAAAAGTTCATATAATCGGACATATTCCTCCAGGTGATTCGGATTGTTTAAAAGTTTGGTCAAGGAATTTTTATAAAATAATTGATAGATTTGAAGATACAGTTAAAGCTCAGTTTTATGGGCACACTCATTCAGATCAATTCGAAGTGTTTTATGACACAACAAGTTTTAGTAAGAAAATTTTAATGAACCCAAATCAATTTTTATTTTTTATTTTATTTTAGAAAGAGCAACTAACATAGCTTTTATTGCACCTTCTGTTACAACTTTTGAGCATCACAATCCGGGTTATAGAATTTATTATGTTGATGGGGACCATGAAAGAACTACGCGAGAAGTAATCGACCATGAAACTTGGATAACGAATTTAGAGGATGCAAATAGCGATGAGAGCGAGCCAATTTGGAAAAAATTGTATACAGCACGAAGCGCGTATAATTTAGAAAGTTTAAGACCTCAAGATTGGTCCGATTTAATCGATAAAATGGTTGATAATCCGGGTGTTTTTAATCTTTATTATAAACATTATTACAAAGATAGCCCGGTTAAACCACCCTGTGATGATAATAAATGTAAATTATTGTTACTTTGTGATTTGAGAAGTGGAAAATCTCACGATAGGCATCATTTATGTCGGGATTTAGAGGAAAAACTTCGCGAATAGAAATATTTTTAATAAAAATATATATTTTTTTAATAAATAATTCTACAATAAGGATGATTTTTTTCGCAAATTTCCCCAACATTTTCAACTTCATCAATTGTGGGAAGATGTTTATATAAAATATTTTTACCCGAATCATTTTGAGTTGGATTATTTTTTAAATAAGTTTGCATCTTTTCAATAAAAGGGGATAATTTACAAATTAGTAATTGAATACAACCGGAGTCTTCATCAGAAGATTTTTCTTTTATGTATTTAATTATAATTTGAGAAAGATCTTGATTTTTTGAGTATTCCAAGAGGTTTTTAACTCCGTAATTATTTAGAATCCAAATTAAAGGATCTTCTTGTGGGGAACTTCTTAACTCGTCCCTTAATTCTTCTTGTTTGTTGAAATTTGTTGATAAAGATGAACTTATCTAGAGATTAAATCAACTTTAAAGATTTCGCGATAAAATGGTGTTAAACTTACCAATTGTGCCATAAAAATAATTCCATTAACTCCAATAGCAGCAATTTTTTTCGGATCAAACCCAAAAATCCTTAGAAATCCCGCAAAAATATTATCATTATGATTCTTATTTTCGTCATTCTCAACAAATCCATTTTTTAAGCGTTTATTAGAACTGAAAGCTTTCGAAATTAACGAGCTTACATCAGCTACATGATCAATTCCGAGTAATTTCCCCGCAAATTTAAAACCAGACGCTAATTTATCAAATAAATTCGATTCTGAGTTGATGTGAAACCAATTTATGGTGAATATAAAAAATAATAAAAACGTCTTCATTGTGAAAAGGATAAAAGTAGAATGGGAGAAATTTCTTTTCTTACACTATTTTAACGGTTATTTTCATGTGTAACGATACGAAATAATTTTTTCTAGATAAAATTTACCGTTTTAATTTTTAATCTCAAAAAAGAAATTTTATGTAGTTTATGGCATCAAGACACAACAACGGAGATCACAATCGAAATATAAATTTAAAACAAAAGCCAAAAAAAAATAGAATGAAATTAAATAATAACGGCATTAAAATATTCTTTTTTCAATGAGACGTGGTGGCATGACTGGAACTAGTTGCGGGTAAGAATAACAGTTATTCTTGGTTGGGGCCAAGGAAGCTAGAATCTAAAAGGACTGCTACATCCTTTATTCTTTTGTAATCCAGAAAATAACGTCAGTATCGGACCAATAAGACACACCTGTTGTGTCACGGTCAGTCAGCTGTCCTGAAGACGCAGGGCTCAACCCGAAACTCTAGTTCTAGATCTAGTGTTAGTCCTAATTGTTATTCACCGCTAGATTTTTGTATATTTTTCTTGAACTAAAAGCAGAACTAATACTAGACCTAGAACCTAGAACTCGAATCATTCGGGTTTAGCCATCTTAAGAAACACTCGCTAAATCCGAATGTTTCTAGTTCTAGGTCTAGTGTTAGTTCTAGTGATAGCGCTAGTGTTAATTCCAGTTTTAACTTGATCACGATTTTTCTTTTATATTATGATCTTTGTTAATTATCAAACGTTGATGTCACAAACGGGCCGTAGAGTTATGCACGTGTTCCTGAGATATAACAGTCTTTTTAGATTCTACCATCCTTGGATGTGGCGCGGTAGTGTTTTTAGCCGAGAACGTTGATGGTTGAATTTGTGAAACATCACGTTTGCAGTAGAAACCTACTTTTCACGAAGCCAATTCTCCTCGGAGTTCCGTAGACGGTAAAATATTCCCCCTCGAGGTGCTATTCCTGCTCGGGGATCCTATCGTTGGTGGAAACTTTTAGAGCAATTGAAAATTTGTCCTGCAAGAGACCAGGAGTAGCACGGACCGCTAGAACACCTACAAACATCAACGCCGAGCTTAAATTTTGCGATCTTCTAGACGCTCTGCTTCAAAACATGCGGCTGCTCTGTCGCACAACAACTTTTCGAATGTGATTTGGTTTCTTCGACAAACGGCATGCGACGCCCTTTGACAATTTACCCGCTAACGCTGTTGTGTGGTTTAATGATTAAGATCATTTCTACATCTCAGATTCTGTTCACAAACAAAATGTGCGATATTGGGACGATATCAATACAAAAAGAATCATGATACTTCATGAGAGGCCTCTTCATTCGGATCGGGTCACAGTTGGAACTGAGGTGTCAAGAGTAGGGATCATTGAGCCACATTTTTTCGAAGAGAACAATCTCTTGAAAATTGGGTGGAGTATGATTTCAGCAACATGAAACGACTGCCCACACATCTTGACTTATTTCCATTAGAGGTGACATCTCGTGGACTGCAAGCTCGCCAGATTTGTTGTGCTGGAGAGAGTCCACTTTCACTTCAGAAATCAGATAGAACAATGCATCGATAAGAACGTTGGACACATACCAAATATTGTTTTTATTTATATCTTCTCTACGCTTCTTAAATTTGAAATTACTTGCTGATCCATTGGCTGTAATAAAGGTGTGGTGTTAGGTGGCAGAAATTTGATCTTAATAATGTCGTATGCAAGATAGGTCGCCTTCAATATATGGAGGATGAGCATGAGCATTTAAGGGGCACTTTCTTTTCCTCAAGATATGTTTTAACCGAAAGATCAAAAACGTCAGTCATCATTCAACTCTTTAAAATATTCTTTTAACCCAAGCCTTACAATTTAATCTCCACATTACTGGAAGCTTACGTTGTTTTACTTTAATGCTCTTAAATACATGCGGATTGTCAGAATCGTATACTTGAAAGGGGATTAATTTTGAAATTTCCACTTACATTTGCTCACAGTAATAATCTAAACCTATCGTTCATTGATTTGTGGCCAGGTAGTAACGTTTCCTCTTTGTTTATGTATATCCTCTATTACATTTTTTTCCAAAATAGCCCCATTTCATCGCAATTGAAAAATTAATTCGAGACCTAAGCTTTTAAGTCTATAAATTTACCAAAGTCCTTCACATATTTCTCTGCTGCCTTTTGGTCCGAACTAGCCGCTTCTCCATGCCTATCAACACTATAAATTCTAGTTCTTCAACGAAATCTTTCGAACCATCCCCTACTTGCCTAAAATTCCATGACACTACTAGTATCGCTTGTACTTGGCTGGTTCGACAATAAATATTGATGAAGTTCTAAAGCGTATCAAGGCTTGTTAGAACTCTAGTGAAGCAAAATATGTTCGCAAATTTTGTTCGTATTCCGATTTGTTCTGAACTGACAAATTCGCAATCCGAGGTATGACTGTAGTTTACTTATGTAAAATGTTGATTCTGGAGTCAAATTTTCCGGCAGTCCATCTCAAGTTGTTCAAGGGCTAGGGCAATCTCCTATAATATGTTTCACGGTTTTATTTTCACCGCATTTGTAGAAGGGCCCCATGTTTTGCCCCATTTATTCTACTTAGAGTTGACCAAGTTTTGCGTGGTAAATTAAAAACTAGGAGGCTTTTGGGTAATACATGAGATATATTCTTCTGGTTTGTTATCCATTCTAGATGCCAAGCTTTAGTCAGTCTGAATCCTTCATCTGTGGCAGTGGCTGCTCTTTTAATCAGTAGCTTTCTGTATCGTAGACGGGTGTGGTTGGCGTCCTCAATCTCCTTGTGTATTGATAAGTTTTGGTTTCCCAAGATCTTCTTGTACTCTCTCGTGAGAGCAGTTATGCGATGCAAGTTTGTAGGGATGGTATATGGCTTACTATTGGGAGCCATTCCACTGGAGCAGATTTGAAAACCCCCTTGCTGATCATTCTCATCGTGTTATTCAGCTGAGCATCGATTTTCTGTACATAAGGACTGTTAAGCCACACTAGCGCACAATATTCAGCGATTAAGAAGGTCATGTTGTTCCATAGAGTTTTTGTATATTATTGTTCCTCGTTTTTAGTATTTCCGCTGTTTTCATTATATGTTCTTTGAATGAGATCGTTCTATTTCTATCAAGTATAACGCCTAGGTATTTTGTGGTTGATGGTGAGTAAGCCATGAATTCTCAAATTGTATTCCAAACTTTCTGCCGAGGAGTTTATTGTTTAGATGGAAACATGTTACCTTACTTTTGCTATCGTTTAGGTGAAGGCACCATAACCGGAAGTACCTTCCCAGATTCTCTAGTTTGGTTGTCAAGAACTCCTCTGATTCTTCGAACGATCTACATCCATTGCAAGGCGTAGCCGTGCTTTTTAGGTCTTATGTCTGGCATATCTGCGATATATACATAGATTAAAGAGAAACGGTGAAAATACCGACCCTTGTGGCAGGCCGTCCTTGAGTTTGCTTGCTGAGCTCACATTGGACCTCATGACAATTCGGAATGCTCTATGATAACACGGAGGAATTTACGGATTATGCCTTCTTTTCATACAGAGTTGTAGGCAGCCGACACATCAATGAATGCAGCAGAAGTTTAACGCAACTCCGTTTTGCCCTGAATCCTGCTATTATTATATTACATCAAACACTCTCTGACCGATTCTTTTGTAGATAAGCTTTTCAATTAATTTGTACGTTACTGATGATTCGATGTAGCTTTTAGATGAGTCCCTGGTTTTAGGATGGCTATTACCTTTTCCTGTTTACATTTTCTGAGTAGGTTACCAATCTGGATTACATCAGTAAAGAATCTGCCAATGTTTAGTGTATTTTTCACTATCTATTAGGAACTCTGGGTTGATATCGTCAAGTCGTGGTGCCTTTCCTGACGTGCTTTTCCTGAGCGCTCCCTCAACTTCTTTAGCTGTCAAAGATATCCGTCGCCTCATTCCACAGGTTTCTAGATACTTGTGTTATTTCGGTTACAAGTACCTTTTTTGGTGTTGTACTAGATATTGCTACTATGTAGGAGGCAAAGTCCATGCTTAGGGGCTTGAGGTCTGGAGGTTCAGATTTTCTACCATTTCCAACTATTTCTGTTGCTTTGCAGCATCAAGGCTGTGGAGAAGCTCATCCGCCACCACATGGTTGCTCGTCTCAAGGAAGTTTAAACAAAATGAAATAAAAACAGCGGAATAAATTGTAACATCTTTATATTCTCTAAACAACAACAATATCTATCTCATCTAATAAAAACTTCATCGAATAAACATTTTTTCAATTATTTTTAACTCATTACAATTTGAATTGCCAAACTTCTCCTTGATTGTGCTGATTTTTATTAATAAAGTTCATATTTAAATTTCGATTTTCTACCTGTGGATATAAAGAAGGACGCTTAACGGGATCGTTTAAAGCGATCCCTGAAGAATCACGATTACTTTGAACTTGAAAGGGTTCAACATTTGAAATCGAAACTTTTCCTCGATTCGAAAAGCACATTAAACTCTCCTGATGCATAACCAATAAGAAGGAAATGACCATCAATATGATTCCGGTGGTGATAAAAATCCATTTTACTACGTCTAAAAGCCCCATTTTTTTAAAGTTCGATTTCATAAATGAAATAAAATCATCTGGGATGATGACAAACTACAACAAAAATTTAAATAGTTTAAATAATTTGGTAATAAATTTGTACCTCATCCAGCCATAATATTGGAAAAACACCTTGGGTAACGTTTGCTAAAAGTGGGATTTCCTCGATTGATTTAAGAATCATACTCATTTGGACTCTTTTAGCACCGGTTAAAGGCGTAGCAGTCATCTTACAAAAAAGTTTTTAATAAGTATAAATTAAAAATTGATTAAAAAATTTCTTACTGGTTCAATAATTAAATATGATTCATGATTATTTTTATCCGGATTTAAACCTTTGGCAAACTCAATTAAAGTTTTATCAGCGTATAAAAAATGCGGAAACGACAATAAAACCGGCGCTTTTATACAAGGACTTAAATCAACCAATCCATCCGGTGGACAAACGTAATTTCCTTCATCATTTGAAGGACAAAAACACATATTATCGCTCGTTTTTGATAAAGATTCTTTACGAGCGCTATATTTAAATGCTTTTATTCCCTCAAAAGTTACAGGTTTCTCGTATTTTACAAAAACAGATCTAAAAAATCATAATTCAAAAAAATTACAAAATAATAAAATTTTTCCTAACCTGCAAATATCGGCTGTAAACGTATAAATTTTCTCAACTGGCTTTTTCATGGTGAAATACATTCCCGAATCACTTCCATTTAACATATTACAACCATCACCGTTCCAAACATCCAAACTCGGTTCATCCAAAAAAGAAATCAATTCGCCTCTTGTTGAATTTGGTTTCATCCCCCTTTCCATTATGTAAGGCCCAACAGCAGTGTTGTTCATCTTAATTAATAAAAAAATAATTAATTGATTGTTGTGATCAAATAAAAAAGTTAATACAAATCTAAACATTGAAAAAATGAAATCTCGATCATTTTCCGCCACTTCAACCGTTTGAGGGAGAAATCCTTTCATGGTGCTGCAGAAGAAATCTAAAAAAGGCATAAAATGTTTTAATAAACTCAAATCATAGGAGGTAATTGTGATTACCTATTTCGGGAGCTGAACAAAATAAAGTTATTCCACCAAACAATAATTCTCCTATTGTTGTACGTAGAAAAACGTCTTTTGAATCTGGGTAAATGAAAGGGTAAGCGTCTTTTACCATTGTTAAAGCTGATGGTAACATAGTTTGTACTTGAAGAATCATCCCCTAATTGTAAATAAGTTTGTAATCATTTTATTAAAATTAAGAATTATTAATTTGGACAAGGGACAATGTCTTTATGGGGTTGGGTTAACTTGAACCTCAAAGTCAAGATTACAAGAAGTAAGTGATGCATAAGAATGCTAAAATTGAGAATGATAACTGGAAAAGATTGCATCATAATGGAAATAGTGAAGAATGTGGAATAGGCGGCAATCAAGTTGCTGTATACAACTTGTAATTAAGCCTGGGAAGAAGAAGAATACCACAAGATTGGCAAGTAGAAGAGTTGGTTCATATGCCCCAAAAATACAAGGAATTGCAGTAACTACAGAGGAGTTTTGGTTTTGTTAAGCGTATCGTATTTGAAAATGTTGTGGAAAAAAGGCTGCGTCTAGTTACAGAATCTCAACTATTTGTATGATTGAGATGGGAAGTACACAAGATTCGCGCATTCGTCGATGTTTTGGACCGTGTACCAAGGAAAAAACTGTGGGCATGCCTAAGATAACCAAAATGTACAATACAACTGGCAATCAGATCAGAAACAACAATAAATCAGTAGAATTTGTCACTAAGGAGTAAAACAGAAATAAAATTATTAACGCACACAAGAATAACAAACCACAATTTGTTGGATATAGTAATCTAACAGCAGTAAAAGTTTTTGACAACCCTTTCGCCGACGACAGCAATTGTTGCGAAGTAAGAACAAGAACTCAATAGAAAACAGCAACTGGAATAAGGTAATCAACATAAATGACATGCTAATGAATAAGGAACAATAAAAGTAATGCTTATATCAAAAGATAAAGGAATGTTAACGTACAAATAGATGGTCAAGAAGTAAAATAGGTCAACGATACAATATTTGAAAACGATGCAAGACATCAAACTGAAATTAACAACCAAATAGAGAAAGCTAATCGAATCTACTACACCTCAATCAGCTTAATAAGAAATCTATTAGAAACAAAGACAAAGTGCCTGGTAAGCAAGTATATCCACGCGGAAGATCAAAAATGTCCTTGAGGCGCTGCTGTCTTGAATTAAAGTATCATTCGCGACACCATCATCAACTCAAACCAGCATGAAGGCTCAAACAATGAAAACCAACAAGTTTTTTAAAAAGTTTTGAGAGTTGAGATAGATATATATTATCTTATGTCGAATATGGGTATGATTACTGCCAAAAAAAAGACAACACAGAAGACTATGTAGAGCATACACATGTACTTATACTTGTAGTATGTCAAAGCATATACATATTCATTTTCAACCTGAAGGAAGTTCTTTTCTTATAAAGAACCGTTGGAATTATGTGGACATGATCGTTAAATTTTAAATTAGAAGGCATGGCATAAACACTTCTACAACTTGTTGGCTACATAAAACTTAGTTTTTGAATCCATCTAAGGTTCTAAAGCTGAAAGTTTTAAAAGTTTTTTTTTAACTTTATCTTCTCTTTTATATTATTAGTTATAACTAAAATATGGACTAGCACGCATTAACGTCCTGTTTATTGATACTCAAATTTAAAAGTTTTAGTCGGAACTATAGTCTGTAATATTCATAGAACTTTATATATAGGCATTTGGAGCTATTTTTGGATGCTTGCGACTTGACTGTTCATATGTAGCTGTGATGTTCATTAGTTGTTCATTTTAAGTAAGTTAGGCGATATCTAACTTTCCAAATATTTAGCACATGAACTTAAAAGCTATGCTCTCGATGATGTATTTATAGATGTTGGAGAACAAATTACGGTTATATATTTTACGGTCATTACGAGGTAAGTACATTGTTATCATGCAATACATTAGTACACGACTATAGGAAACATTTATCAAAGTTCTTTTCAATTTGTGATCAATGAAAGCACAGATATAAAAAATGTTGGCCAAGTTCAGGAAAATTCAACCTTCCTCTTGAAAGGCTTGTTGCTATAAAAACTGACGATGAGGACTGATTAAGAAAGTAAAACTTGTGATAATAAACCAAACGCATTCTCTCAAATTTGATGAGTACAATACAATTTGAAACTAAATATTTATCTTTTGATTTTTCTGTTAACCCACGAAAAACTGTTTTCGTAAGAACGAATATGATCTAAGCTATAGAAGTATAAGGCGTCGATACTTTCAAATGGGTGAGATAACACGAGATTATACCCATGGAAATGGGTAGTTTTTTTGGGGTTAAAACCAATGCTCCACTGTAGAACATTCTCCCCAGATGAAACTGTTTGAAACTTCTGTATCACCTTTTTTCCATTGAATGTTAAAATGATTACGACTTGCGTTGACAACGGTCAAAGCACTTTTCTGAAAAAGCCTTTACAGTTGTAATAAAGAGGAAAAGAGGAGGAATCACTTGTTTATTCATCATCAATGAAGTACCTGAGTATAGCTTCCAACCTGCTACATCTCCATGCACCAACTTCCAGCGGTTGACTTTACGCATTTCAAAGTCCAACAATATCCGGAAACATGCAGCAACCGAAGGGCTACATCTCCCCCAGTTATCTCAATTGTAGACTATTTCTCCCGTTCCTTGGGCTACTTTAGCCAAAGGAATTGTTTCGTCATGATCTAACGTGGAAGCAAGGAAATTATGCATCTATCCTCCCTTTGTTAAGACGTGACACTCCCAAGCTTCGAAATACTTTACGCTAGTGCCTTTTGTAGTACTTGAAGCGAACTATAGCTCAAAACTCTAGAACGAGGAGAGTACCATATACGCACACACGTTTCTGCAACATAACATCACAGACAAATCATGCAGATATAATCTAGTATAATAATCTTCCAAAACTTTGTAACACTGCAAGGAGATTGTCTTGAGTACGAGAGGTTAATTAAATTATAGTGTAAGCTGCACAGTTTTTTTTACAAGCGCTCACTGCCCGATCATTACAGTTGCTTGTTAGTGTCAACACCTTCTTTACTTGGACATACAATACAAATATCTCTCAGATGCTTAGTTATCAATTTTTGATATAGAACCTCTTTTAAACACATACAAACATTATGTTCTCTTCCGTCAACAATATTTCTCCCTCTTCTAATAGAACTATTTATTGTTTATTGTTCGTAGTGAACATTTTTAAGATTTCAAAAGTTAATAAACAACAATATCATCATAACTAGACTAATGATATCTTAAATATGAAGCTTTTTGAATCTCTTAGAGTTGGATTCAAAACGCAAGACTTCTCACCCACTCTTTGAATTAAAGTAGAAAAATATAGAAATATTTATTTTTATACAATGCTAGTCAGTTTTTCTTAGAAAAATCGTTTTTGTGGAAATTTCTTTCGTAATTTCTCTATTTTTACGCAATTTATATTTATAATTCATATATGGATATATGCATTTAATTTCGATATGAACAACATTCGAAAATATATGCAAGAAGATGTCAAGTTGATTTACGATTCAGCAACGAAAGATGACTTTGAAGATATGGAAATTAAGTCTTTTTCAATAAAGTGTTTTCATCGGTTATGATCGCAGAAACAGCTGTAATATTTTATATATCTGTGTCAATGGCTTAATTATGCAAGAAAGGGGAATTAAAAACCAATCAATTTTTTAACGACCAATGTTGCAAATTTTCAAGGACACAATTTATTTTGCAACTAATTCCAAACGAGTCACAATTGGAAAAGTTTAGAAAGAGCAGGATTAAACTAACATTTTGGTTCATCTAGATCAGATCTGCCATAATTATTATAGGATTTATTTTGATTTGCTTGTTATTCAAAATAGATAAGTGATATAGGAAGGACAGTAAAACCTTGATGTTATGTAATAATACGGAGCAATAATGAGTGTTCGTTATAGCCAAAAGTCAATTATATGAAAAATTTCGTCTTTAACAAAAAGATGACTAAACTCGAATGTTTCTAGCTCTAGGTGTTGTGTTAGTTCTAGTTTTATTTCAATACAAATTATATACCTAGCTAGCACTAGGATTATAACTAACACTAGACCTAGAGCTAGATCATTTGTGTTTTGCCATACATCTCTTAAGACGGCTAAACCCAAATGATTTTAGTTCTAGGTCTACTGTTAGTTCTACTTTTAGTTCAATAAAAATATACCACGATATAACGGTGAATAACAACTAAAACTAGAACTAACACTAGCATTAGAACTAACAATTGATCTAGAACTGGAAATATTCGGGCGTCTCTTAAGAACACAAAAATAGCAAGGTTTGCCTTGGTACAGTAAGATCTAATGAAATTAAGTTCGTTCAGAGAACCACGCAGAATGATTAAGATTTGACTAAAAAGTAAGACTCTCCCTCATAGTTGTACTATACACTAAGAAAAAGTTATGATTTGAAATATGTATGTAAGGTGATTAAGCAAGTATTAATTTTTTTTACCATTAAAGCAGCATTTAAAATCGTTACTTTATCTTCTTCACTTCGACAACCAGATAACTTCTTATTAAAATGAAATGTTTTCTTTAAATAATATTTAATTGTATCATCTTTTTCATTAATTTCAGCTTTTGTACGTTCAACTTCAATACTACAATTTAATTAATATATTTCTTAATAACATAAAAATTAATTTATCTTTTTGGTTTACTCATAAATGTATGGCCCCATTTCTTTAAGAATAGGCTTTTCACCCATCATAACAGCATCGGGATTAGTAACATGAAAAATGTAAACTTTAAAAAGTAAAGGAAATGGTTGTTTCTGCCAAACTTCGAAAGCTTTCGTCCCGGGATGAAGCGCAATTTGCTAAAAAATTAAATAAAAATTTAAATTTAAAAAGTTACTAATTTTATTTACCTTCGAAATTTCGTGATCAATTATTTTTGGAAATCCATACCAAGTGCACAACACCCCAATTATTAAAACTAAAAACCCGGATAAAGCTGTAATAACTGGACAATGTTTATACATTCTTATTAAAAACAATTTTTAAGTTGAAATAAAAAGATTTAATTAACTCGTTCTTTGATAACTCTCGCGGTCGGTTTAAAACAATAACCAAGTCGGAATGGTAACATTACCAATAAAAAAATAAATTGTTACCATACCAATTCCTAGATTAAGGTCACATGAATATCGGTCACAAATTATTTATTATAATGTTGCACCACAGACATAGAGATATTATCATATACCATCAAGTGAAATTTCCCGGCGATACTATCTTTGTGACTCATGTGTGTGTCTGTTTAACTAATCATTAAGTGGCCATCATTGCATACTCATACCTTTGAGAACACACTTTGTTATTACGTACTGAATCGATTAAAGGAGGTGCAACAATTTCTTTTCGAATTACTAACGATTTATTTAAGTGAATTCACCAGAAAGTGATTACAGGGAAGTAAAAGGTAAAGAAGATTAACATTTTAATCAATGTTCTTGTATTATGAAGTGTTTAGTAATAGATGATCGTAATAATTCTTTCATACATATATGCATAAATAATTTAATTATTGGTTTTCCATATAGAGAAATCAATAAAAATGTACAAACAATTATTAAACAACACTGGATAAATTAAAAATTTTTTATGCAACGAACTTTTGGTTATAATTAGTGATGGATGATAGTGATTTTGCGAAAAGCAGGATAATGGATATTCGGTTATCCCGCATATCTATCCGACCATTATAGTTATAATTTCTGGTACATTTCTGAAGTGATACCCTAAATTGCCACATTTTTGCGATATTTGATAAAAATGAAATGAATAAAAAAGCTGATGATGTCAACTTATTTGGATCCAAGATACAAAATGAACTTTTTTGATGCTGATTTAACTAACGAAGCAACTCTAAAAAGAGGATACTTTAATTAATAATTGGCGATATTTCCGCAAGGATTCTTCAAGAAATGAATTTTATAGCGAATTTTGAAAGTTATCGATGAAAATTGAAACATCGAAAATTTTATCAAAACTTCAAATATTGTTTTCTCAAAAACTAAAAGTTATTTTTCAAAACGGGTTGGTTCATTGGAAAGAGTACACTTTTATTAACACTTTGGGAAATTTTCAAACTCATATTGCAAGAAATGGATTTTATACGAATTTTTAAAACTTAATCGGCGAAAATTGCAAAATTCGAAAAAATTGTTGATTATTTCAAGAAATTATTTCTCAAGAACTAAAGGTGATTTTTCAAAACGGCTTGTTGTATTCTAAAGAGGATACTTTAATTAATAATTGATGATATTTCCACAAGGATCCTTCAAGAAATGAATTCTATAGCGAATTTTGAAAGTTATCGTCGAAAATTGCAACATCGAAAATTTTATCAAACTTAAAATATTGTTTTCTCAAAAACTAAAAGTTATTTTTCAAATCGGGTTGGTTCATTGGAAAGAGGACACTTTTATTAACACTTTGGGAAATTTTTAAACTCATATTCCAAGAAATGGATTTTATACGAATTTTTAAAACTTAATCGGCGAAAATTGCAAAATGCGAAAAAATTGTCGATCATTTCAAAAATTTATTTCTCAAAAACTGAAAGTGATTTTTCAAAACGGCTTTTTGCAATAAAAGGAGGATACTTTATTTAATAATTGGTGATATTTCCACAAGGATCCTTCAAGATATTTAATTTATAGTGAATTTTGAAAATTATAGATGGAAATTGCAACAACGAAAATTTTATCAAAACTTCAAACACAGTTTTCTCAAAAACTATAAGTTATTTTTCAAAATGTGTTGATTCATTGGAAAGAGGACACTCTTATTAACACTTTGGGAAATTTTCAAACTCATATTCCAAGAAATTGATTTTATACGAATTTTTAAAACTTAATCGGCGAAAATTGTAAACTTCTAAAAAATTGTCGATCATCTAAAAAATTTGTTTCTCAAGAACTGAAAGTGATTTTTCAAAACGGCTTGTTGCATTCTAAAGAGGATACTTTAATTATTAATTGGTGATATTTCCACAAGGATCTTTCAAGAAATTAATTTTATAGCGAATATTGAAAATTATCGATAAAAAATGTAACATCGAAAATTTTATCAAAACTTCAAATACTGTTTTCTCAAAAACTATAAGTTATTTTTCAAAATGTGTTGATTCATTGGAAAGAGGACACTCTTATTAACACTTTGGGAAATTTTCAAACTCATATTCCAAGTAATGTATTTTATACGAATTTTTAAAACTTAATCGGCGAAAATTGCAAAATTCGAAAAAATTGTCGATCATTTCAAAAATTTATTTCTCAAAAATTGAAAGTGATTTTTCAAAACGGCTTGTTGCAATAAAATGAGGATACTTTAGTTAATAATTGGTGATATTTCCACAAGGATTCTTCAAGAAATTAAATTTATAGTGAATTTTGAAAATTATCGATAAAAATTGTAATATCGAAAATTTTATCAAAACTTCAAACACTGTTTTCTCAAAAACTAAAAGTTATTTTTCAAAACATGTAAAAGTTTTCAAAAATTAGTCGTTTTTGAAAAAATTCAGAGAGACAAAAAAATTTTAGAATACACCTATCCCCCGATTTACACGGTAGATACATTCCTCAGAAAAACGTGTAAATCGAAAATTAGAAATTTTCAAGTCAAAACCATGTAAATCGAAAAGCTTGCAGAAAATGCATAATTTTGCTATTTAACAGTTGTGATTTTTTTCAATATTTTTAGGTGTACACAGAAATAAAAATAAAATGCATTGACAGGTTAAAATATGTAATATATTTTAAGTCAGCACATAAGCTCGGGATTCCCCGTGAGATGTGTACACAGCGCACGTGTTCAATTTAACAATTTAGTAGAGTGCGATAAAAACAAAAAAAAACCTATTTGGAAAACCGTGTAAAAGCGAAAACGTGTAAAACAAGTACCGTGTAAATCGGGGGATAGGTGTACTTTCATCTATCTATGTAAAATTTTTCTAATGTATTTATTATCTACATAAAAAAAAATTTCGCAAAATGCAAAGGGGGTGGTTACGTTTAGTAGTTTAGAAAGGTAGATTGAAAGTACAAATAGGGTCAAAACGTGCCCTACTATGAGTTAAACATATTCCCCAAATTTCATTTTTCTAGCGTTTATGGTTTTTGAGAAAAAGCAATTAAACCAAAATTTTCCGCTATTTTTGGAGGGGTGTAGCTCCTTAGGGGAGCCGAAGTCGCCCATGGTTCATATATCAAAGTACCCTTAAAATTCACTAAAGAATCACCCCTTGAAGTTTGTTGCAGTTATTCAAATACATCCTGTATATTGGGCAAACAGGTCATAGACTTGATTTAAGACTACAGGAACATAAAACAAAGACGAATTCTAACATATTCAAACACAGTCAATTGACTGGTCATATTATCGACTTCGATAACACGAAATTGTTACATAAATGAATAAATCTTCTCAACGATCAAGTTGATGATGACCTTTATGTGTGGAAACCGGTTCCAATAAATATTTAAAATGTAAGCAAATAAGAAGTTTTTTATATTTTTATATGTATATATACATATACATTTTCCCATACTAAGTATGTATATACTAAGTATATACTAAGTAATAGGTTAGGATACCGGATAGTTAACGGATATTCGTTCCACCACTAGTTATAATGCACTAGAGATGTTATAAACTAGTATTTTTGGGGACAGGTATGATATGTTACTGCTCCTAAAAAGTAATAGTTCATAATACCTGCTACAACTGTTCCTCTATTTCTTTGTTCATGTGTTCCTAGTGAATTTGACTTTTGGAGATTTATGCTATATCTCCAAAACATCGAAATAGGATGATTTTTTTTAATAAAATCAATTATAACCTAACTACTAAAACTGATGGAGAAAGACGTTATGCATAAAAAATGTTTCTAATGCATCAAAAAATCATAATCCATACTTATTTCATATTTATCTATCACCAGTTTATAGTGATATAGCATAAATCACAAAATATCAAATTAGGATGATTTTTCTTAATAAAACCAACTATAACGTAAGTACTAAATACTAATGGAGAAAGTTATTATAAATAAAAATAGTATTATTTAAAAGTTTTATTTATGGTGTTAATTAATTCTGATTATTTTAAAATTAACTATTTATTTATACAAAGATGATGACATCATTAACATTTATAAAGATGATTTTTTGAAACGGTGGGGGATTCGTTATATTTCGGCTTTTTGAATAAACCGTCGACCGAAAGATCAATAACACTAGCTTGTTATCAATTCTCGTCTCGTAACACCGAGAACATACACATAACACGTAACTTTAGCTTGTTTACAAAGCGTATTTATAACAATAATGCAGTGTATAAAATATTCGTTAAAACAATTGTTTATTTTTTTATTTCTTACGATAATATTAAGTGTTATCAATATTAATGGACTTGAAACCAAACAACCTCCTCATATAATATTTATATTAGCCGATGATTTGGTAAGTTTAATTTTGTTTTTAAATACTTTTTAAATTTAATTTTAATTTAAGGGTTTTAATGATGTTGGGTTTCATGGTTCGTCTCAAATACCAACCCCAAACATCGATATTTTAGCTTACTCAGGAATTATTTTAAACAATTACTATGTATCTCCGATATGTACGCCTTCAAGAAGTGCTTTAATGACAGGAAAACATCCGATCCATTTAGGAACACAACATGGGGTTTTATACGGAGCCGAACCCCGAGGTTTATCGCTTTCCGAGGCTATAATGCCAGAATTTTTCCAAAAATTAGGATACAAAAACCGAATAGTTGGAAAATGGCATTTAGGATCATGGAAATTAGTTTATACCCCAACCTTTAGAGGATTCGATTCGCATTTAGGCATGAAATTATCAATATTAATTTTACTTCTTTATGAGTATTTTTTATTTGAAGGTTTTTGGACTGGTCATCTAGATTACAATGATCACACTGCGATGGAAAAAGGAACTTGGGGTCTGGATATGAGAAACGGTACTAAAATCGCTTATAATCTTCATGGGGAGTATATAACAAGTGCAATTACAAAGGAATGTGTTAAAATTATTGAAAACCATAACGAAAATGATCCATTATTTTTGTATATTCCTCATGCTGCTGTTCATTCAGGAAATCCTTATAATCCTTTAGCTGCACCTGATGAAACTGTTGCTGAATTAAATCATATTTTAGATTATAATCGAAGAAGATTTGCAGGTAAATTAATTTTTTATCTTATAAAAGAATAAAGAGTCTAAAATTTACTGATTACATCATTTTGAATGTTGCAACTATATTCTGTCCCACCTCGCAGCGTTCATAAATCACCCTGATAGATAGATAAGCTTTTTGTGCATTCGAAATCTTGCCTGAGATAATGATGATATTGTTAAAATAAGCTTATATGCCTCACTTAACTTACCTGTTACTTCATGTAACTTCATAATGTGTAATTTAGCAAGTTGGAATTATAATAACGAAAAGAATAAGTGAATCACTTTTTAAATTTCAGCCAATATCTAGATTATCTAGAAGACTATGCCGCATAAGAATGATTCCCTTTTATTCTTATGCGGTGTAGTCTGAGGTTGTGAAAGAGCATATTGCAGAACAGATATGATGAACTCCAAAACGTATGTGAGAAATTTCCAAAACATGACGCCATTATGGTCCTAGGAGATTTTAATGCTTAATTTGATAGATAACACTGTTTTACAGATATCCTTTGAGAAACACAGCCTCCATGCAAAGACAGATTTTACCGCAAGCAATAACTTGAAAGTCTAACCAAGAGACTAACCAAATAGACCATATGTTAGTCTGTAAGAGATGGGCTACTTCCATCTAGAGTATCAGAACATACCGAAGCCCAGATAGTGACTCAAATCGCTAATTGGTCCAGTACATCAATGACCAAATAACACAAGAAGAAATTCAGCGAGACTTAAAATTGAAAATGTAAAGGAGGAGTACTAGACGAAGTTAAATTAGACGCTGACAAACTGTCATTGAGATAGCAACTCGCACTGTGGGTGTGACGGAAAAATCAAGTAAATGATATATAATATAATAATACAATAAATGTGTCTTAAATAATAGAGTAGTGGAGTATACCAAGGAAATTCTGGACGAGAATCAATCAGATAAAATCAGTCAAATTAATAGAAGCAATTTTAGTGACTTCCCAGTTCTTCACCCGATTGAACATTTGTGGTAGTACCATAGGTCGGAGCTGAAACAAGCATTGTTAGATTAGTGGTACAAAATTGAGCAGAAAATAACCCAAAAATTGGTTCATTTCATGCCAAGGCGTTTGGAGGCCGTTACAAGAAAGCCGCTGCGGAAAGTCATCGTATTTTGGTGGAAGTTTATGGAGATTATGCTCTAGCTGAGGCAATTTGTGAGTGGCGATTTCGATGTGTATGATAAGGACCGTACCGGTCAGTCGAAAGAGTTTGAAGATGAAGAATTGGAGTCTTTGCTGAATCAAGGCTCGTCTCAAACGCAAGAAGTGCTTGCAGAATCATTAGGAGTAGATCAATCAACAATTTCTAGTCATTTAGAAGCACTTAGATTCATCCAAAAGCAAGGAAATTGGGTGCTATACGAACTGAAGCCAAGAGACGTCAAAAGACGATTTTGGATGTCTGAAATGCTGCTTCAGCGACACAAAACGAATACGTTTCTGCATCGAATTGTTGCGGGCGATTAAAAGTGGATCTATCCATTATGGCAATCCAAAGGGCAAAAAATCGTAAGAAACCCGATCAACCAGGAACATCGTTACCATAATCGAATATCCTTGGTGCTAAGATAATGCTTTGTATTTGGTGGGATCAGAAGGGTGTCATCTATTATGAGCTTTTAAAATCGGGCGAAACGATCAAGGGAAACCTGTACCGAATACAAGTGATCTGTTTTAACGGAGTGTGATGCGCAGTCAACTACACTACTTAATTTGGTGGTGGAAGCAGCCACAGAGAATTAAATATCACTGGGTATATTGGTATCAAAACATCGCAAGTATGCGAAATGTGAAATGATTAAGAGAATACTTGACCATATTGGCCATTGAAACGTAGAGGAGAGTGCTAGAATTAAAAGAAGACTACAAGAAGTTGCTCAAATCTATAATATTGAGAAAAATATAAAACAAACTATTTATAAAAGCCATATTAGACAACCCAAAACAAACTTCTTAAGACACTTGAATGAAAAATTCGATAGAAATATTTTCTGCAGCTTTACAAAATGAGGAATCAATTGATAAATTGTGCCGATATTTCCAGGTTCGTTAAAAATAGGAGACTCGTATGAATGGGGGACGAATAAGCGATGAAACGACAACAAGGAGAGTTGCAAATTAGAAAATAGTGAGTCGAAGCTAAGAGCTAATCATTAAAAAAGCACTCATCAATGACAATGTGTACTTAAATGTCAGAACCTAACCGAAACTTGAGGTGTGTCTTTCTTCAGAGAAGGTTAATCTCGGAACACAATCCTTTCTAAACTGCAATATTGACAGTATGCATGATCAGTAGACCACTCATTTTAAAAAATCGCTAACATCATCTTCTAAATCAACTTTTCCTCTTTCATAAGAAAATGAACAAGTGTATGGGCGAAAATGTTCTTAACCATGCCATAATTAACGCTGTTTACCTCTCACCTTGCTATATTTTCTATTATTCATTTCAATTTTTCCTGACTTCTTTGTATTTCTCACAAAACGTCATACTGTGGTCTCTCTCATGTTTAATGAATAGGTGTTGCAAAGATGAATTAATAACAATAGAAGAATCAAGTTTATTACAAATGTTTTGAATACATACAAAGAATATTTGGACAATGTTTGGAGAGCGAAGTGCAACCACGAAATAAACAAACATCTTAAGGAACGTCCTCTGTCTGACTATGCGAATATTCAAAGACACCTGAAAAGAACGATAAATAGCCCAATGCAGGGAAAAAGACCAAGGAAAAGATGGGAACACGCCAAGAAAGGGTGGGAGTGCAAATTTGGAAGAAATCAGCTGTAGATAAGAAAGAATAAAGAGGCAAACTAAAAGAGGCCAAGGCCCAATTTAGGCTGCAGAGCCATAGAAAACTAGCGTTTTATATGAAATTCTCTTGCAGAGCTCTTCAATCCCCAAACGATTTAATAAAGCTCCTACTATCCGTGCCGAAAGTCTCTTTAAAGATTTATATCGGAAAACGGCTGTGTGGATTTCAACGCGGTTTCAACCAAAATATGTGTAATAATAATAATTATAAATTAAAAAAAAAACAGTAATACATCATTTGGGGAGTTCCGTCTAATCCGGCTGCTGTGTGTTCTAGACTAGACGTCGCGCCTTTATTTTACCTAGAGAAAGAAATAAAGGCGCGACGTTCACACATACTAACATCATCTTCTTGGATTAGACGGAAATTAAACTATTTTTGGTATCTTGATTATAAATGATTTGATGTCTTTTCCTTCTTCAACATTGCACACCTCATCATATGAGTCAGTACGAATATATAATAATAATCATCATGGAATAAACAATTAAAATAAAAATCTGAAAAATGATGATTAGTATATCTTTGTGGTTATGTAGATCATTGTTTATATTTTGTGGTTATCTTAAGAATATTATTGTTATTAAAAATAAATATAAATTATAATTAACGTTATTAAAAACATGTATTTATTTTCTAGCTATGATGGTTGAATTAGATAAGTCAGTAGGAGAAGTAATAACCTCTTTAAGTAAAAAGAACATGTTACAAAATTCGATAATAATTTTTAGTACAGATAATGGTGGTCCTGCTGCCGGTTTTAATTTAAACGCGGCTTCGAATTTTCCGTTAAAAGGTGTTAAAAATACATTATGGGAAGGTGGGGTTAGAGGGGCAGGATTTTTATGGTCCCCTCTACTTAATAAAACGCAAAGAGTTTCCCAACAAATGATGCACATAACCGATTGGTTACCAACGTTAATTACAGCAGCTGGTGGGGATCGTTCTTTGTTCACATCAGATATAGCAGATTTAAAATTAGATGGTAAAGATTTATGGAAAGCTTTGTCTGAAAATAAACCATCACCGCGTAATGAAATTTTACATAATATCGATGATGTTGAAGGAAATTCAGCGTTGACACTTGGCGAATGGAAAATTATTAAAGGTAAAAAATAAATTTCAAATTTATTTAAAACAAAAATTTTTAAATGTTGAATTAAGGTAGTACTTACAAAGGACAATGGGATAATTGGTATGGTCCATCCGGAAGAAGTGATGTTTACAACGTTTCGAAAGTTTTAACATCAAAATCTGCGGTAGCACTTGAAAAAATTGGAAAAATTCCTTCGCATAATGAAATTTTAAATCTAAGAAATGAAGCTACAGTTACTTGTTCTAACGAAAAACGTGTAGAGTGTAGCCCATTAATTCAAGATTGCTTGTTTAACATTAAAAATGATCCATGTGAAACAATAAACTTAGCGGAGAAGTAACGAAATATTTTAAAATCGATATATTAAGTTTATTTTATTTTAATCATTTTTAGATTCCCGTCGGTTTTAAAGGATCTTCAAAAACGTATTTCTGATTGGAATACAACAGCAGTTCCCCCAGGAAATCTTCCCGTTGATCCAAGAGGTGACCCTAAATATTTCGAATATGTTTGGACAAATTTTGGAGATCACGAATATCAAGTTTTAACTTCATAAAAAAGATTTATTTAAAAACAATATAAATTAATTTCAATAAATTACAATAATTTTAGTCCTCAACATCAGATTTACGGACTCGATTTAAGTCATTTGCGGTTTTTTTTTCTTGCCCTTCCTTCTTGGATCCCTTTTTGGAAATTTACATCTAGAAAATTACCGATTTAAATTATTTCGTTTATTCAGGAATAGATACACACTTGCAATTGTCACGTGGATTTGGAAGAGTTCCGGTTGTGCAAACAACATCAGTACAGTTTTTCTATAATAGATAATTAATATAAATAAATACAAAAATAAAATAAAAACTGTTATAGTACCTTTTTGATGAGCTTGGCTGTACACTTAATGTGGTCTTCAATAGTAACTTGTGTACATGTTTTATTCTTAGGCACACTGATTGTTATATTCCGTATCGTTGGTATGCATTTAAAGAATTCATGATTGCTGATACATTTATTAACAGTTATGACCGGATGATAAGATGATTTATTTTTGTAATCCGTAATTGATTTATATGTCTTTACTAGTTGACATGGACTAGGATTCTTATTATGGCACATATCTTTAAAAAAATTTTTATAAATCGCTTTAATATTGTAAAAATTTAGCTTTAAACTTACCTATAACATCTGCTAAACAATAAACCACACAACACATAGAAATTAAAATAGCACATCTAAAAACCACTGCCATTTCCGGTTCTTAATACTTTATCAAGAAAATGACTTTATTAAGAAGTTATCCTTAAAACGATTTCAGACACACTAAGTATTCATCTCTGGATTTAAGCTTTTTGTATGCGAACTGTTTAATATTTTATTTAACGTCATCGCGGTTTCCAATTAAGTTCGAGATAATTTGACGTATTCTTTAGAAGGGAATATGTTTTTTCCTTTGCATATCTTTCAACAGTGATACAAAACGTGGCTTTAAAATATAAACAAACCGGATATTATACATGTGTCAGACGTATTTCAGACGCCTATTATAAATAAATGAAATGAAAATTATGAAAATAAAGTTAAGTTGGAAATCCCTATATCCGGTATCACTTTAAAATATTTATAAATTTATGTGTGTTTGATAACAAATTATGGGGCGAATACATTAAACTTTAAAACTCATAGAAGCCTATTTAATGTTTTCGTTGCATTCCAAAATCGAAATACAAAGTATGATATCATTCACAAAACATAGCATGTCGTAGTTATGATTCTCGAAATATGTTTCACTTGCATCATAAACATCTGTAAAATGTTAGTGTAACATCTTAATTAATTTACGAGGGATTGCGCTCATCATCCGTATGCATGCAGTGTTGTACGTCATACAAATCTGTTCTGTGCTGTGATAGACTTGGGTTTAACATTGAACAATAATGCATAAGCAGTTAATGTTACATCATACTTATAAAAAGACTTTTAAAGAAGAAGAAGCTCACCTAATTAATAAAGAAAATTTTTCGAATTAAACTCTAAATTCTAAGAAAATTTCAAAAACTACACTAGTAAAACATTAAATTGCAAATATAGAATTTTAGTGGACAGAATTAAGTTAGTTTAATAAAGAATTAAGAATTACATTGGCCAAAATCTGCGACGAAGTGTGAATTGCACTGAATAAATTTCAAATGTAAGAAAAAGAATCACACTACAATGATTACAAGTTCTTGCCTTCAAAAAGAAGTCTGAAATAACACTTCGCAGACTCCAGATTTCAACAAAACTTTCGAATTATACTAAATACAAGTGAATGTCTGGAATTACACTAAGATTCCACCTTTCAACAAAAAATTGTTGTGGAAGGACTAACCAATACACCTACATGCAATTATTTTCAAGTTACTCTGTGTTCTTATACAAAGAACATTCTCAAACATGCCATTCATAAGCACGCCGAAATTTTCTGTTACATTATCACAATAGCAATAATAAATAGTACTCTAATTACGCTGTGCTGCAAGATTTTTGTACAGTTGATGAGTTGAATGTTTTTAGTTAATTTTCGGTTGGTGATTTCAAATATGCCTTCCATTTTTCTGTACGTCACGTTTTTTTTCTCTCACTGCTGCTCGACATAGGATTTTATATTGCAACAAAATCTTCTTAAAATCAAAATTTTCTTAAAAATAGTAATGTTATGCAATTTCCGGTGTAACCGAAAGTGGTACAAATATGACACTACCTCTAAAAGCTTCACAAGGTTCTACAAGTTCTACAAGGTTCATATCTCTTCACCTTATATCAAGGTACCAAATATCAAATTCATTGCATCTATAGTTTCCCTATAAAATCCTAAATCTAAAAGAAACGTGACGTGTTACAAAAAATAGAAGACATATTTGAAATCATCAACCCAAAATTAACTAAAAACACTCAACTTATCTACTGTTCACAAAAGAAAGTTGAAGTTTGCAGCACAGTGTTATTATTGAAGATGTTCAAACATTTCTGGTTCAGCGTTGAAGCAACCCGTCATTTTCATGAATCATCTGACAACCCTGTTCTATTCGTTGACGCAAATTTTCCAGGTGGTTCACAGATGTCGAATAAACTAAACTGTTTAAATAGCCCCATAAACAAAAGTCTAAGGAAAAACTACATCTCCCAGAAAATATGTTGTTTAGACAGAAAGCATAAAGTGCAGTGGAGCTCTGTCTTGTATAAACCAGAGATTTAGTCTCCATTTTAACGATAAGTCTTCCAAAAATCCAGGATGAGTATTTTCCAAGAAATCAAGGTATGTATGACCGTTGTGGTAAAAATCGGTCCAATTTGTTGATGTCTGATTTCAGCGACTGCTCAAGTATTCTCGTCATACCACACATGATTATTATGGAAACTGAATATGCCCTTTCTGGTAAAATCCGCTTCATCACCAAACAAATTGTTAGGAAGTGTGGGCGTTCAGAAGATTGATAGATAAACCATTGACAGAATGTCAATTTTGCTTGGTAAAGAGGACTCCGGAGGAGTGAAGGTTTGCCCACGCTGGATATGGTAAGGATAAATGCTATTCACGAAATTCTTCTCCCACTTGTTTTATGATTTTCATCCTTTACATTTAAAATTTATTCAATCTCCGGCTTACATACGGATGTCTGCCGTCCGCTATCATGAGACCTTTTTTTCTTAGGGCCCAGTTCTCTTTAGACGGTGAAAAACTATTTGAAACATTATCGGTGAAGGCAGTTGGGAAATGGGAAATGTGTCCATAACTTAAATCATTCGCATTGGCACGACCGACATGAACATATCGGCCATTAGCATTTGAATAGACCATTGCAATCGATTCAAATTTTATTACGGGTTTTGTAAAGCCGAACCGAATCAAGAATCAACATACAAAATTGTAAATCAGAAAGTCATTTGAGCAAGGGCGTCGCCAGCCAGTGGGCCAGGGGGCAGGACAAAAAAATGGAAAAAAACACCAAATTATTTAAAACATAATGTTCGTGGTTTCTTCGCGAATTGGTCAACCAGATTATTATTAAAACCCTCAAAGTTCTCAAAAATATGCTTCCTATACACACTCATCATGGGAAGACCATTGAGACGACATTCTGCCATAGTGCTTCTAAGCCAGGTTTTATTGTCCTCAAGCTGGTAGAAGATCGTTCAACAGTATATGGGTAAAGTGACCAAAATTATAAAGGCTTTTCTCGTCTCAGGGAAAAAAATGTCGGCATCTTTTACGACATCCACAACACTTAATTCTTTTGAGTCAGGTTTATCTTGCCATAGTTTTTTCCATAGTTTGATTTCGATATTGATATTTGATAAATTGTAAAATTGGGAAGACTTCACCAGCTTCTACGAGGTCTTCAAGGGACATGTCTAACATTTCCGCCGGGTGTAATTTAGATAAGGAAAATGACGGGGTGTTTTCTTCAGAAAAGCGAACTTCAAGAGAATTAATAATCGAGTCTAAGTATGGTATTATTAAAGACCTCCGCCAGAATTCTGAGGGGCTTGCTGCTGGGTGGTTGTTCTAATGTTGTTGTCTCTGAACAATACGGGGCACGGACTTCATGTCTTCTCCCAGTCCAAGTTTTTCTGCGACGATAGTAGCGTCCCTAATAATTCCATTTGTGACGTTTTCTGTACCGTTACGGTGGTTTTCTATAAATTGCAAAAGGCGGCTAATGTGCTGGTATGCCTTAACTACTTCCAAAGCTACGGATTGAAGCACGTTTACCACAGGTTCCATCATAGCCAAGTATTTGGCTATCAAAATAAAGCTGACAATAAACGAAACTCTAGAAGCTGCTGCATGGAGCTGATAAGTATTTTTTCTAGTCGCATTATTTATTCTTATTTTCTTCCCGTGACAAGGTTTCTAAGGCCTTCATTATAATAGGAAAATTCTCTTTAAAAACTCTAATATTTTTGTGTTTCTCGCTCCACCTTGTTTCGCAAAGCTTGGAAATATTTGGTATCAATTTGCGTCTCCAAACTGATTCTTGAAAAAATGTAATAATATTTTTGATGGTACCTTCGGTGTTCCGGATTTCAGACAGACTATTTAGATCATTAACGACTAGATTTAATTTGTGTGACGAGCAGTGAAAGAACAAAGCTTTTTTATATTTTCTGCGTAGGATTGCTTGCACACCACCTTCTTTCCCGGACATCGTCGAACAACCGTCAAATCCTAAACCAACACATTTCTCCGAATCAAGATCTTCTTCTGCCAAAAACGCATCTATTGCTTGTGCAATACACTTCGCATCTAAAGCAAGGTTTAAGGCTCCAAAGTCTTGTTCCTTTATGTCGTCCTTGTTTAGGTGTCAGGCAAACCTTAGCTCGGAAAATTTTGTATGTTAGGCGACCTCTGGCGACGCAATCACACAGAATATGTTCAGCAGTTTCTGACTTGCTGTTACAAAGTCGACAATTTTTGATCTTCGAAGTATGGAGGACTTCGAAATCCCTCTCCAGTTAACCCTTGTAGCGATTTCGAGGTCGACCTGGTTATCTCCTTGTCATGTTAGACTCGAACATTCTTCTTGATAGTCGGTGATTTGCCATTCTCATGACATGCCCAATCCACCTAAGACGTTGGGCCTTTATGAAGCGTACAATGTTTTCTCTCTCTAGGATACCTTCAATCTCTGCGTTCGTTCGTATTCGCCATTCCTGATTATTTTTCATTCAAAAACAAAAGTTTCTTTGTATCGCTAGCTGTCAGGCTCCATGTTTCTGATCCATATGTGGCAACCATATGTTAATTTCGGCTCCCAGATACATGAAATTTTCGACATATTCGAATGTTGCATCCTCGATAACGATGTCATAACGACTTGTAGATAATTGTCCCAGTATCCACGATATTTGTTATTGTAGCTTGAAGTACCAGATTGAATAATGTGACTGATTGTGAGAGGGCGTCACCTTGTCTTACCCCTCTACTCTATATGAACTCTCTTCCACAGCGTCCATTTACAGAAACTCTTGTCTTAGCATTCTGTAGCGTAGCTTTTGTTAATCTGAGTATACGTTTATCTCGTAGCATTTTTCAAATGTCTGCCTGACAATGATTTCTTCTGTGTAAGGTGTTAGTTTTGACAGTAGGATATTTATACATTCGAGTATTTCGTTCCCCTATAATTATTACATTCGAGTTTGTCTCCTTTTTTGTATACTGGGATGATGATGCCTGTTTCCCATGTATCTCACTTTCCCTAATGTCTTCGATTATCTTGTGCAGCTCTTTTACGACATCTGGTCTTCCATTTTTAAATATTTCGCTAGGTATGTTGTCCAAACCGGGTTCTCACTGGTGTCTTAGTGTTCTGAGAAAGGCCCGCATGTCGTTCTGTTCTGCCTAAAAGGACGGTCAAATCATATCGGGGGATTGCTTCTATCACTTAAGTTAGTTTGTCGTAGAAGGTCTCCTTTTCATCTTCTTCAGCTTCTCCATTTGGGGCATAGGCTGATATCAATGTGATATTGCGAATGCGCCCTTTGATACGGATTTTAAATAGGCTTTCGTCTATAGGTTCGAAGCCAATAATATTTTTAATTATTTTCTTGGTCGCAAAGAAACCAGTTCCTTCTACTCCTGCTTTCTTTTGGTTGCCGCTATAATAGAAAGTGGAGTCCTTTTTTCTTATTTCACCCTGCTCCTTCCATCTAACTTCCTGAATCACTACTACATCAAGTACGAACTTCTCTCCCGATTTCCTGCATCTTTCCAGGTGCCAAGAACGTTCTGATGTTCCAGGTCACCAGCTTTATTTCGTTTTTTCATTTCCTAGGTCCATTGTATTATTGCATTAAGCCCCCTTTGTTGAGACATAAAATCTCTTTGGTTTTCTTTTGCGACGCAGCTATCATACTCTCTGAATGTCTGTGCCCTTGAAGTTGTTTCTACCTTTGAATCATCCCATGTATTAATCACCTGTTTTAAGTGTCTTTTTTATAGTCCATAGCCGGGTTGGGGTCCAATAAAGGGTGACCTCTTTGGCCAGCTTGTCAATGACAATGTCTTTGTGATCTGGAACCTATCATATACCTAACTTCATTACCCCTGACGAGTTTTCTCAAGATATTGATACATTCCTTGACCAGCGGTTTCATAGGTGTAGGCCTGAATTGTCTTTAGGGTGGCCCGACTGTCTGTAAAGATGTTTATCCATGATCCTTTCTGTTCCTTCGCAATGTTCAAAACGGTACAGAAGTTTATGGCAAAAACTTCAGCCAGAAAAATTGTTGTATCTAAGCTTTTTTTAACTATGTGCTTAATAAACAAATATAGATATTATTATTAAATATTGTTGAAGCAAATATGATGTTTTTATGTAAAGAACAATTTTAGTAGCAGATGTTACATACAAACATAAACAACAATTTATTAACGTTCATATATGTATAAATTGTCAGTGACTTATCAAAATTATCAAGTGTTAATCAAATAATAAAAAAATTTTGTTATGGATCATTATTGAAAAATATGATATCAGTTAAAAGCAAACAAGATATATCAACTAAAATCCAATTTTGAGATAAATTTTTATCAAGATAAATAATCTTATATAACAAATTCTTTGAAATTTCCTCAAACTTCTAGAAATTGTAAAAATTCATATTTAAAAATAATAACTACATAACTTATAGTACAATTTTAGTTCGCGTGCGCGAATGATAATCGATCCACTTCTCTTTTTGTATAACCAGAGAAAATGGGAGTTCCTCAACGACAACCCGACAACCAAAATACATCAGATAAGCTCGAAAAATAACGGTAAATACTAAATACAAAACCTCGTCGTCTGTTTATAAACAAACTGTGTCAATTTGGTGATGATTCACGCGAGATAACACTTCGTTTGCTTTGTATATTTAAATACATATGTAAAAAGTCTCGAGATGGCTTTTTGCAATAACCCCGTTTTAAAAACGCCGACAGTTTTAGAACAATTACTCGAGGAAATCAATTTTCAACGTACGAAGGAAATGAGGCAACTTATGAAAGACGGTAAACATAACCTTAAAAAATGTGTAGTTATAAACAAATTAAATAAAATTAATTTTTGTTATTGTAGATTCTGGGTTTGTTATGCTACAAGGTACCACTTATTGGACCGATCTGTTCGTGAGACATTTCTTATTCCAAAACGAGACCAGCATTGATTGTGATGATTTGTTGTTTTTCGTTAGAAAGAAGCATGTTAAAGGATCACCTAGATATTTACCTAAATTTGAGGTAATTAAAACAAAAATAAGATTAATTTAAAGAAAAATATTATGAAAAACTTAATAAAACCTGATTGTAGACTTCAAATCATGAAATGTCAAAAATTGACATTTATATAACCTAAAAAATTGATTAAATTAAAAAAATAATTTAGTCAATATTTTTTTAATGTAAATAAAACATAAAAGTTTTAAAAATTAAAAATAATTAATTTTAATTGATTTCTATAAATATCTTAATTTAAATTAATAAATTGTGAAAAATTTGACGTTTAACATAACCTCAAAAAAATCTAAAATTAATTTGACATTTAACATAACCTCAAAAAATAATCTAAATTTTATTTTACTTTCAGACGGAAGTAGATGTTTTTCGTAAAGACAGTAGAAAACTCCCAATAGGTGACCCTGATATAGACTGGGAAGAAACAGTTTACTTAAATTTAATAATACACCAATTTGAGTACACCTTAACGTTAGCGATTTGCACAAGAACGAGTCCGAAAGAACTACAAGTCCTTAAACGTCACTCCCAAAAAGTTTACGCATCTCCTAGTCGTCGCCGAATGGATACGAAAGGAGAAGTAGAAGAAATGACTTATCCTCACATTTGTTTTATGGTCGATAACTTCGACGAAGTCTTCCACGATATTTTAGTACGCGATGGCGAAATGGTTTGCGTCGAATTAGTTGCTTCAGATCGCGAAGGAACCATCCAAGGCGTAATATTTTTGGGGTCGATTCGTTACGATGCTTTAAAACGCGTTTACGACGCGCGACAGTCGAGTTTGAGCACGAAAATGGCTCAACGAATGACGTTTGGGTTGTTTTCAAATTCAAATGCGCAACGATGTGAATTTGTGCGGATGAAGGGACCTCAAGGAAAAGGGCATGCCGAAATGGCTGTTACTAAACCTAAAGGATCAGGGGTTGAGACTCCTACTTCAGAACCTGGGTTCTGTGCTACAGATTTATGGGATTCTGATTGGGAGGAGGACCCAGAAGATTTTTATAATTACCGTCAACAGAGGAGACTTAGCGATCCGAGTGCTAATATTAATAATTTCGTTCGAGGTGGGTGGAAAACGAAATTGGATGTTAAATCAAGATCAGAAAATGAAGGGTTGGATTCGATGGATAATGGGGTTTCTGAAATTGAAGCTGGTGATTTAAGAGATGGTAAGATAAATTATTTTAATTAATTTATTTTTTTATAAAGCACCCCACTTTCATTTATTTATTATTAGTTAAGTAGTTGCTTAAAACATAAAGAAGCAGGACTAGAGAGAAAAACATTACAACACGTAGTCAAAAATACCTAAATTTCCACAAAAAACCTTTTCATTAATAATTTTTTATTAATTTTTTTTTGTTGTTGTTTTGTAGTGGGCTCTGGTCCTGTTTCATCGACAAAAACGAATTGCTGCGGCTGTTTCCGTCGCTCCAAGCGTGATTCTCTCACCCTTTCGGATATTTACTGTCGTACACCTTTGGGGCCACCCGAACAACAGCATTGTTCTTGTGCCCCCCCACCAAATAAAATCGCAAGCTTACTCAATCAATCCGAATACGAATTGGGTAAAGAAAAACCAAAAACCATCAAACAGAAGAAAAATAAAGACGCAACAAGATCGAATGCAAATTATAACACTGAATTTGAATTTGCTGATGACGCCATTAGTTTAAATAACGAAACGAATGCGGAAAATAATACTAATAATACCGATAATGATAATAAACCGAAAGGTTCTTTAACTGAAAATCCTTATATAACTGTTAACGGTAAAGAAGAACTGCCTTGTGTGCAGGAATTAAAGAAATATTCATTAACCATATCGAACGCGTTAATATCACCGAAGAAAAACGCGAAACAAATTGAAAAGAAGACTGAGGCTAAAGTAATAATTAATCATAATGAGTTTAAAGTGAATAATGCTTTGAATCGTGCGAGTCATTTCGATGGAAATTATAATAAGTTGAATGTTAGTAAGATTTATAGTTATTGTACTTTACCAAAAAGGAAAAATGGGGCTCCACCTACAGTTGGAGTTAATAGGTGTTTTCGTCCACTTTTTTCACCTCCCAAAAGAATTACTCCAGATGGTACTCATATTTATTATTGGTGTGATTTACATAAGAAATGCAATAATGGTAATAATTATAATGATAACTTTACTAAATTAATTTTTTTTAATTTAATAAATATCAAATATAATACAGTTAAACCTCGATATAACGGAAAATATTTTTAAGTCATACTATTAATATTGTCTGTTTAATACATCAGTATATTTAAACACAAATGTTAGTTCAATAATAAATAGAATCCAACTCGGGTTATTCCTCAAGTTGCTGCATTCTATGTTCATAGATAAACGAAACTTGGGGTATTCCCCATGTCTATATAATGTATAAATCAAGGACATTAGAACTAGAAACGTTTGGGTTTAACCATGCATCTCTTAAGACAGCTAAACCCAAATGTTTCTAGATCTAGTCTTAGTTCTAGTTGTAGTTGTTATTTAGCGTTACATTGTTATATATTTTTCATTGAACTTAAACTAGAACTAGTTTTAATTGTTATTCAGCGTTAAATTGTTGTATATTTTTATTAAAAATCAAACAAAAGGCAAATCAAACTGGAGGGAAAGAAGGTGCAGATAGTCACAGTATATAGCAGAGCAATGAAAGAGGCAATAAGGCAATGGGAAGAGATGACAGGAGGAGAGGGGGGATGTCTGATTACACAGACCTGCAAAAATGAATTTAATAAAAACTTTTTTGAATATTTAGGGTGATCTAACAGTTTTCAAACGTGCTGAATCCGAAAATGGCAACAGTTTTTCACGCTTTTCCGCATCTCAACACAATAACCTGAAACTAACTGGTATGAATATGGACTAACTGGATTTCTTTGATGAAGTGACCAGCAGTAGTCACCAATCATACTGACGTTCCAATTACCCTGATATCTTCACTCCATGACCTTAATATCCAAATAACAATGTAGAAAGTGAACTTTTATGCTCATCAGGCAGCTTCTTTGAGTTCTGCTTTTGACAAATGTGGAAACAGTATACAGAGGTATTGAAAACAGTCGCCAATGTTGGGTAAAGCTTTGACGAATTATTTCATGAGTCCTAACTTGATGTGAAGAGGAGGAAAATAATTTTTCTGGGATCGACAAAACGTTCTTTTCATCTGGCCACAATGTTTTGTTGGGTTGGCCATACTTTTTTAGTCCAGAGTTCATTTCTTGCTTTGCTATTCAATTCACAAATGAAACATGGGTACTTATTGTTTCCTCAGGTGTACAGAATGCCTTAGAGGAAGAGAAGCATATGTGTTGCCATTGTGCCTTCATGCTTCTTGTTGAAGAATCAATGAGAAGCCTCCATTTATCAGCTTTGTATTCAATTCCAATCTTTTGAACCAAACCAAGAACATTACAACAGTAGATCAAGTCGCCTTCTTGTTTAAAATAGTCAGTGGTCATTCCTTGCTCTGCTATTCCATTCACAAATGAAGCATGGGTATTCAGTCTTTTCTCCCTGCAGACCAAGCATCATGCCCAAAACTTTGAGATCGCCACAAACTATACAGTTATGATCTATATATGGGGATTGCAATCAAGAAGGGTTTTTACAATCCCGGGATTTCTGGGCTACATATGTAATTGTAAATAAAAAGTGTTCAAGGCGTTTCTAACATTTCAGCTTATTCTAATCATAATACAAGCAATTTCACCAAAAAAATCCACCAGCACTATTTTTAAAGAAATGTTTAAATTCCATACTTATTGGTGTTTTAATTTTTATCCATACTACCGCCATTATTGAATACATCAATTTCCTGGATCAATGTATTGAAGAGTGCATTCTTAGTTAACTGGGCAGGTAGCTTTGTTGTCTTTGTTTACACATTTCCAAACATATTTTGTTCTTCTATCTCATTTATCATAAATTGTAAAGCTATATCTGCTTTTCCTAGTGCAATACACCGCTAACATAAGGCTTTTACAGTCAGCTTTGCCGCTTCTAATATGGTTACTAACGCTTTAATAAGTTCGTACTGTGAATCTACAAGAAAAGGCTCTTTTATGTCAACTATTGCTTTACGTGCGCATTTTTCTAATAATATGAATCGCTCCAACATAACAAACAGTGTACTCCACCTAGTCTGACAATTTAAAATTAATTTAATTTCTTTTTCATGGTCTTTTTTTTTGTAATTTTGTAATATCAAATGCGTGCTTGCAGTGTCAACCGATAGATCGAGTCTTATTCTTCAAGAAATAGTAAATTAATGACATAAACATAACCCCGAATATCCCGAAATTATAATCGATTTCCCGAGATAATTTTCGAGATTTAAATATGTACGGAATCCCTATCTGTATATTTAATTTTGTTAAGCACCTCTTCCAAATTCTCGTAATTTTCTTTGAGGTGTACAAAATGCCCTAGAGGAAGAGATATACAATGTGTAACACATATGTGTTACCATTGTGTCTTCAGGCTTCTTTTTGAAGAATCAATGAAAAGCCTTCATTTATCAGCTTTGTATTCAATTTCAAACTTTTAAACCAAACCAGGAACATCACAACAGTAAACCAACTCGCCTTCTTGTTTGAAATAGTCAGTGTTTATTCCTTGCTTTGCTATTTCATTCAGAAATATGTTCCAACAGCCAGCTTTTTTTCTTTTAGTCTAGAACAAAAGAGTTCAGCATTCTCCTTGGTAAGTCCCAAGTCTCTCACCAAATCATCAAGCCGATTCAGACTGAGCAAAAAGTTGTGGGGTGGCATAATCTAAAGGATCTTGAAAATCTTCATTCACATCAGAATCACTAGAGCTTGTCACACCTAGCGTTGCTGGAGGCTGAGGTACAGATACATCTGCTCCATGAGCTACAGGTCGCATATCAGAAGGAAGCCGGTGATACACTATATCTCTTTTATTCTTAGAGTTATAGCCATTAAAATCATAGTAGCAAAAATAATAGTCATCACTGTGATTTTTTGGTTCCCTCCACACCATCGAAATGCCAAATTTGAATGATTTTTTTACCTCATTACTACTTCCTGCGATCTTCTACACAAATATAGCACACTTTGTGAGCTGCCCATGATTTGTCCTGGTCCCCAAGTCTCACCCCGAAATAGTTCCTAACAAAGTGTGTAATGTTTCTCTGGTGTTTCTTAATGACAAGTTCACCACAAATGTAACAAACATTTTCGAGAGAATTACCAAATGATCGCGTAGAAGTGTGTTTATGTTGAGATGACTTAGAGAAGTGGGGTATCGAGGATGATTCATTCATGACGAAATTTGCGAAAAAACTAAGGATGATGGAAATTTTTCATTATTTTTCTCGGATTCAGCACCCAAAAATCAATAAAGATCGGAAGTTTCAAAAATTTTTTTTAGTCGCAGACCTGTGTTATTGGAGGGGACTTTAATGCGTGAATAAGGGAAGAGGGTGTTGTGGGGGGGCGACGATCCAGAGATAAGACACTGAATGGAGAAGGAAAGGAGATGTTGAGGTGGGCAGAGAACTGAATGGGAATAGGGAGGAAGAAGATGAAGAGGAATATACTTATATGGGTGCAAGGGAGGCGTCTGTGATAGATTATGTGGTAGTGAACCAAGGAATGTGGGAGAGGGTGGATAGATTCAGGGTGGGAGATTTGGTAGATTCGGATCACCAACCGTTGAGGGTGCGATTGAAGAGGGTTGGAGGGAGAAGGCGGCGAGAAGAGGAAGTAAAATATGTTAAGATAGAACACTACAGGGGAAAATTGACGTCACGAACGGGCCTTTGAACTGTGCACCTGTTCCCGAGATGTAGCACTCCTCTTAGATTCTACCATCTTTGGTATAAATATAAAGCCAGGTAGACTGAACGCAACGGTGTTGAGTTATCCGAATTTGTGTGCATTAGAATTATTCATTCAAATATCCCGTATTAGTCCGTTATATTGAGGTTTTACTGTATTTAATAAATATTCATAAATTGATTTTTTTTTATAGAACTCGATGATGGAGCTTATAACCCATTGTGGACAATGAGAGGATTTACTCAAACATTCCACTTTTGGAAAGAGAACAAACGAGCTCAATCAGTTCCTTTGAACGCGTTTTTAACGTACGTTACATTGCCTTGGTGGAGTATCGCAAAAGGTAATTTCTAAATTTAATTAATACAGAAAGTAAAAATTTTTTTGTTGTAGATATTTTAGATCATCGAGAAGGTCCCATTTTAACATTCTAGTATTTTTGGTACATTTTATAAACGTACAGAAACGAACAAAAAAAAAGACAGCCACAAAATACTCTAGTCATAAAACACTCTTCTTTATTATTAATACTTAATTAAGTTTTGTATTTTGTAAGATTTATTTAAAACTGTGATTCTTTTTGTTTAAAAACCCTCAGATCTAAATCAATCGATCTGTGATACGAAAAAAAACTTTAGTTTTTTTGTGTCGTTATGATTTTGTAATTTCTTGAAACAACAACAAAAAAAAATAAAATTAAATGATATTCTCAATTTAAAAGTTTGTTTGATTTCTGTGTTGACCTCAGGTCATGGAACCCATTCCAAGAACCGTTGATAACGTTAAAGATATCACGTTTAATAAACATCCGTTCATTTCTTCTTGTTTTAAAATAGTTTAAACGAGTAATCTAAGTGAGAGTAACGCGATGAAGGTCGCACTTTGGGGGTTTATATTCGTTTTAGGGGTCGTTGTCGTTTTGGGGTGTCCGCGAGAACCAAGTCCTTATCATTCGCACGTAGGGAAATTAGAAGGGGATAATGGATTTCAAATTAAAGTTAATGAAAATCCCGAAAAGTATATACCAGGACAAATTTATACAAGTAAGTTACTTAATTATTTTTCTTTTTTATTGGAAAAGAAAGGCTAAACACTTAGTACATCATTTTAAGGTTTAAAAAATTTGTTTTAATTTAACGTAAAAGTACAAAGTTAATTGATTAAATAAGACCAAATAGTCTAAAACAAACAATGTTTATGATTGTGCAAGGTTGAATTGAAAATTGATAAGTCTGATATTTTATGGTTTGAAAAAACTATTATTAAGATAAGTATGCCAGCATGCGAGACTCTACATTTAATTTGATCGTATTGTAGCTTGATAAGTTGTATAATTTTCCTATAATTCCTCAGACAGAGGTTCCATCAATCTATTCAACATAGCCCTGTTGAAAATTGTACTGGAATCTCCTAGCAAGATTTTTAAACTAACACTAGCATTATCAGTAGAACTAACCCTAAATCTAGAACTAGAAACTTTCGGACTTTCTTTTGCAAAACTGTTACTTATCCTAGCAAGTTTATTAATTTCTCGTTGCTGCACTTGGAAAGGTTACCCTTTTTCCCTATTTTGACAATGATGTCTTCAAGCCATTCTGCAGGAAATGTCTCGGTATTCCAGATATCCTGGAATGAGAGGTATTGATCAACAGTAGTAGTTTAGTTTTTGTATTGATGCTTTTGATATGGTATTGATGTTACTGAAGAATTGACATTGACAAATACATTTTTATAATAATACAATGATATTACATTGCTTCGGTTACAGTTTCTTTCTAGACTCAATAAAACACAAATATTTATACAACAATTTATTTTTAGTGTACTTAATGGGTTCAAGAACATTTGAAAATGTCCAACATTTTAAACGTTTCACAATTAATGTTGAATCATCCCAAGAACCTGGAAATTTGTCCCCACAAAAAGTGGGCACATTTCAATTATTTGGGGATTCTCTTTCAAAGTTTAACGAAGATTGTGTGAATACAATCTCGGAAACGAGCGTTTTACCAAAAACTGAAGTATTTTTTATGTGGAAAGCTCCACCACCAGGATCCGGTTGTGTAACATTCAGGTTAATTTAGAAATAAAATAATTTTTTAATTTTTGAAATCATATATATTTTAATTTTTTAGAGCAATGGTTCTTGAAGATTCCAAACGTTGGTTCGCCGATGAAGGAAAATTAAGCAAAACGTTTTGCGAACAAACCGAAAACGATCTTAAATTTAACCCTGATGATTGTTGCGCTTGTGATGAAGCAAAATATAATGTAAAATTACAAAAATCTTCCTTAAATTTTTTTAACATAATATATAATTTACACATTTTTAGTTAATATTTGAAGGTATCTGGTCGAATAAAACCCATCCAAAAGATTTTCCATTTTCACTTTGGCTCACTCATTTTTCCGATATTATTGGGGCTTCCCACGAGCGTAATTTCACATTTTGGGGTGAAGGTCAAATTGCATCCGAAGGATTTCGAAGTTTAGCCGAATGGGGTTCTGTGAGGCTTATGGAAAGCGAATTAAGGGCGAAATCAAAGTATTTACGATCGATTATTAAAGCGGCTGGTTTATGGTATCCTCACGTTAACACAAACACTTCTGCGACGTTTAAAGTTGATAGGAGACATAATTTAATATCACTAGCTTCAATGTTTGGTAAGTTAATTTAAATAATATTTAAAATATAATGATCCAAAGATACATATTACAAATTACGGTTGGTACTTAGGTATACACATTCCGTTAAATATTTTTTCATCACCCTTACACTTGACAGTCTCGAAGCTTTTAAACTGGGTACATCTTTGCGTTACGACATTATTGTTGGGAAAGTTGTAGATAATTTGACAAAGAGCCAAAAAATAAAGACCGAATAGAAGAAAATGCATCGTTCTTAATATGTAAATAGACTCTAAAATGTTTTCAAAATAATCCTACTTTTATAGTCAATCCAAATTTTATCTGTTTACTCTAATAAATAGAAATAAATTACAAGTATATTGAGATAATATTTTAAGCAATAAAAATCTCGACTTTGAACAGCACGAAGTTATGCTTGATGCATTTAAATCAACATTCTATCTTTTTCTTTTGCAGTTTTAAGTATCTTGTTTTCTTTGATTATCCCAATATAGAGATATAGACTTTAATTGCAAACAAACAAATTCGCAGCTTGGTAATTTTTGATTGTATTCAAATCTTAATAAGCAAAATTCTTCTATAACAGACTCAAAACTTCAGAAAATCCTTTTGTCCTTGTTGTTCCTCGGCAGAATTTTTTTGAAAGTTGTCCCGTGATGTTTGTGATAAAGTCCGTATACCTTGTGGGAGATCTTCCACGCGACGTTTTTCCAGCTACTATGCCCTCTAAGTAAGTCCTTCTCACATTCGCACCACGTGTCCAAAATATTTTGCTATGTTTTGAACTACCACGCCTCGCCATCTGTTTTTGGTTTCAATTGTTGTAGTGTTGTCTACAACGTTAGTTGTCCTCTGCGTCCACGGAATTTTTAGAATTCTGCACTAGCAAAACATCTCCATGGCATCAATTTTCTTTTTGCACTCTGATCTGCAAAGAAAGATAGAGAACATCAAACTCCTTACCAGTCTCATTTTCGTTGTTAAAGATATTGACTACTTCATGTGCATGTTAGTCTAGTCATGATTTCTTCACCATAGGTAAATAATAGGTAAATGACTGTATAATAAACGTATCAGACAAAAAGACTTTGTACATACTTTTATGTTTTTTTAAGAACATCTTAAACTGTGGCTGTTACAGTTTTAAGTTTTTGCAAGAACTTCTTCAACTTTTTCAAGAAGTTGTGAAAGTTACTAATTCATAAGGCGGATTAAACATAGGTATTGTTTTTGCATAGAGGGATTACGAAACATCTTCAATATTAATATTTAAAATAGAGGATGTAAACCAATATAGCTCCCCCATCATCTTCATACTCCCAAGCAAATTCAAAATCAGTAGCCATCAAGTCACAATCTGAATCTAAAGCGTATACATTTGACGATGCCATATCTCATCAACTGTTGGCTTATACATAAAATTGAAAAAAAGAATAAAATTCTTCGTGTTACAAAGACTACGAATTTTTTAAGTGAGAAATTAGGTGTTACTTCAGCTAGGAAAGATGTAGAATATGTAACAATTCACACAGACATAAATTTCATAATTAATAACACGAATAAAAAACAATCAATATTAAAAAATAGTATTGGTAAAAACAACAAAAAGATTGTTAGAAAAAGCGCTACTCAAAACGATGCACAATATCTGTTTATGGTTGATTGATATGGTATTAACTGTATCGCCTCGTCTGGAGTCAACTTCCGTTTTTGACCTATATAAGGTGCTACAATACTTGGTTACTAATTTCTTGATTAATACAATTATCGCAAAACCTTTGAGGCTATCTAATTTTAGCTTTTTCCAATCATATTTGCAGTATGTACTGACAAGTTTTGATTAATGATTTCGACTAAACTAACCGATCTCTCATTGCTATGATGTTTCTAGTTGTTTTTGCAAGCCTTGACCATGATGTGATATAATTTTTGCCCAGTGCTTAGAATTGTATAATGAAGAAATTCAATTAAGTGCAAATAAAATGGTAAACCATGTATAAAACAGCTTACTCAAGACAACCTCACCTATTAGTAGTACACCTATTTTAACAAATGAGTCTCTTATTTTCGATTTTATAAGTAGAGGACAGAATTCTATGTATGGTAGATATGAAAAGCAATACATGCTCTGTTTAGGATACTTTTAGGATTTTTGTCATCCTGGCTTTCAGCCCGATTCTTATTTTCCTTCTTCTTCTTATCGAAAGCCTTATGACTTGGTACTGCTTCTTCTGTGATACTGAGGTCCAGCTGTCTTTCCATCGCTTTGAAGATCTTCTTATCGGCCTTTTTATGTATGTTTTGCTAGGCACGACTAATCCATTTTTGACCCATATGACGAAGTCGGGGGTGTTACATTTTTCTCTGATTTCTGTGTTTCTCTTACTATTCTCACTCGATTCGAGTGCAATAAAAGATCCAGCTCGACATTCAGGAGTGCCACGAGTTAATTATAGGGCGTGGATACACCCTCCCTGCATACACGCTAGATGTAGATGAAACCAATCCACATATGACTACCTACGTGGTTGCACCTTGGGGGAATATGGTAAATCGTTGGAAGTTGAAGCAAAGGAGATCGGTTAAAGACTATGCATAGGTACTTTGCTAATGATGACAACATGGGAGAACTAAGTTTAAGTGTAATCTGGTTAACTACATCTGCACATCATTCTAAAGATAATCAAATATACCACAGTCTGTCTCAATCCCGGATAAAGTGGGACGAATGAGCGAAATCACATATAATCTTTCTTAATTTTAGCAGGAATTACGTTTATTTACAAGCACTATAAACATTCACGAAAAATAAATAAAATAAATACATAAAAAAGAAAAAGGAAGTAACTAATTAAGAGTGTGTGTTTGGATTACTAAACCAGTAATAGATTAACACAATTTCCGCCCACCACACGATTACGAATTTGATAACGAACTTTTACTACAAAAGCAACTCAAACAATGGAAATTCAGAAACCCAATAAAAATTCCTTATTTAAATAAACCACATTAAATTACCGGTGTAACTATTTTAATTCGTATCATCTGAACATCACGATGACGAGTGACGAAGATAGTAGATTGGAAGAAAACTTGCAGTTTAGAAGACGCATATTTTGAAAATCATTATGTAAAGATCTGATTCTAGCAGATATAAAAGAGTGATTATCAATCGAATGCCAGGGGAACTTTAATTAAGCACATTAAGTAATTTCTAGCCAGTCTTTGCAAGTGCTAGATGCTAGACGACTTGATATTAAATGTATTTAGAATTTGTATTGTTAATGGTGGAAGAAAAAAAATACACCCACCAGTTAAAGAACTATCAAAGAACTAGTACATATAGTGTCATGAACCACCTAATTATATCTTCTTGGCATGTAGTGAGGTCTCACATCTTTCAGAACGCTCATAAGTTTTTTTTTATTTAAATAGTTTATAATTTTGATCATGACTTACGATTAGATCAATGAGTGATATTTTTCAAACCTCATCTACTAATTTAGAGAGTTGAGATTCGATATTCATCGTAAGGATTTAAATTAAAATACCCTGGGGTTCTTTGTACGACGAAAAATAGTTTAAATACTAAATCCATTAGTTCCTGAAGTCGCGTGGTGTCCCTCCGATTTGTTTTGCTTATATTTTGCTCTTCATTATTGACGTCGTGCCTGAGGAAGGTTTTTTCTTGAAACCGACACAGCTGTAGCACTGATTTGCCAGTTTTAATAAACTATTTTTCGTCGTACAAAGAATCCCAGGGTATTTTAATTCTCATCTACTAAGGCTACGAAGCTTATACACAAGAAACTACTCACTAACACAAATTACACTACCTTGAAGAATTGGATCCTCTTGAGTTCTCTGATCTGGTTGAAGAAGTTGCTGTACCAAGGAGTATACCCAGGTGTACCAGTGTAAGCGTTTTCCTGATTAACTCTAAAGACTTGATCTCAGATATAAGACTTCAGCAATTGTGCCAACTAGCTAGGTAAGAGCTTGCTTAATTTGTAGTGAAATCGCACACTCTATCAAAAGCTTAAGGTACATTTAGAAATACGGTGGAACAAACCATTCTTTCTTCCAGCACTTTTTCAATTATATCTGTGATCCTGTGAAACTGTTTAATAGTTTTGTGACTCTTTCTAAAATTAGATGAGGGAGTTTGATCCATGTTGACCAGTTATTTTTTATATAATATAAATTCAATAAAAGCAATACTTTTTCTGGTCTTTTTCAATTTATTGTCTAACCGGTTTCAGCTTACGCCATCATCAGAGACATGATAGACATTTTAGCAACTTATTTTCCATTTAGTTGTTCATGTAAACGGCTTCATAAAGGTATACAAGATAAAATTATAAATATGAACACATTAAAACTCACGTTAAAAGTTAAAATTTACACGTTAAAATATTATAATAATATAACAATACTATGATAGTAGTGTTATATATTTTATTTAGTATTGTTTTATATTAAACAATGTGTAAATTTTATCTTGTCTGTGAGATGAAACTTCATTGCTGGTAATTTCTATACCATGGGTACATTCTGTAATTTCTATTAGTATTTCTTTTGAAACAATGGGTCTGATATATCTTTCCCTTGGGTAAGATTCTTCTAGTCGAGAATATCTTGACACTGATTTGGGTCAAAAGTGTTTTCAAGATATTCACCATATCTGTTGGCCTTTTCTGTATTACTTTCTGCCTTGTAAATTCTGTTGGATTGGTCTTAAGCAAAGGCTCACAATGTGTGGATTGGATTTTTGTCTAAATATATCAATAAGGCTGTACAAAAACTTCCTTTGTTTAACCAAATCAAAACCATTCTTTTATTACTGATTACTGGGGCGATAGCGCATTTCTATTGTGTACTTCCACTTATGAGATGGACATAACGCTGAATAAGCTCAAGGCGGCTTTACCAAAACTATATTTACTTAACCCAAGTCCATGAATTATATTCCGAGACATTCCGTTGCTAATTTTCAATGTCTACTGCCAAAACACAATTCTGCCATAACTGGTTGTCAACATCACATCAAATAAAAACTGTGTTAGAAGCTTACTACTGACGCACCGTTTGAATTTACTTTCAAACAACCAATACAGTTTCTATAACTTTGTACAGAGTAACGTTTGGATGTCTTCTCCACAAATTTATTTCTATGCCTTGGGTACATTCTGTAATCTCTATTACTATTTCTTTTGAAATAATGGGTCTGATATACCTTTCCCTTGGGTAAGATTCTTCTAGTCGAGAATATCTTGACACTGATTTGGGTCAAAAGTGTTTTCAAGATATTCAGCATATCTGTTGGCCTTTTCTGTATTACTTTCTGCCCACCTACTTTCTACTTGGTAGATTCTGAGGGATTGGTCTTGAGATGAACATAACGCTGAATAAGCTCAAGGCGGGTTTACCAAAACTATACTTACTTAACCCAAGTCCCCGAATTTTATTCCGAAACATTCCGTTGCTAATTTTCAATGTCTACTGCCAAAACACAATTGTGCCATAACTGGTTGTCAACATCACATCAAATAAAAACTGTGTTAGAAGCTTACTACTGACGCACCGTTTGGATTTACTTTCAAACAACCAATACAGGTTCTGTAACTTTGTACAGAATAACGTTTGGATGTCTTCTCCACGTTAATCAACAAATATAGGTACACAACAAGACATTTTGTGACGTTGACAAATTCACCCTTCTCAACTTTCCATGATTGATTCACAGTCTTGGAAAGTTGAAAAGACGCTCCATCTGCAAATAGTGACATGGTTTTTGGTGATAAAAATATGACAGAGACAGTACGCTGATGTATAGTTGCTTTGATAGGGGTGGGAAGATTTTGATGTCTTGATATCTTATATGAAAGTATCAAGTCAAGTTTTTTTCCATCTTTCTCGTAGTCGGATTTTTTTTTTAATAATGTACTCGAAGGTTATTCAGCTTCTTGATTTGATTTGATCAATATCACAACCTTATCAATTTATTGAGTTTATTTGTGCTTCAGCTTTATCAACTTGTTTAGCACATCTGTTCTAGTTTCGGAAAATTATAAAAATTGAATATAAGAACGAATGCAAGAAAACGCATTATTTTTACTACTGAGACACTCAAATTTATTAATTTCAAACATTTTCTTGTACATACTTGTTATTAGTTTCGCAAATTACATGTTTTCTGGCTATCTTGTTTACATACAGATATGAATGTTGAAAAATAACACACTAATTCTAAAATAGATATAATTTAAGATTATAAGCATACATTACATTTTCTTAATTATTTTTTATAACTTCTTGAAAATTTAATAATTTTCCTACACTTATTTTTCACTTTCACATAACCATCTAAACACGGAGCCCCAACGATGTTGCTTGATTTGGTGTTTTCAAACATCTTCATAAAATTCTTAACTTCACGTATTTCCCGTTTGTCCTTTCCACTTTGTACCATTTGGAAATGAAGAGAAATTATTAAAATAACGGAAAATAACCACCACGAGATTCGCATTTTCATCTCAAAAAAAGGAAATTATAATATTATAGTAGAGCGCCGTTATTTATTACAACAAATGAGATTAGATTAGATTTAACCTTGGTCTGAAAAAAACATAATTTTCTTCCCGATGAAATTTTCTAGGTCCTACGCCGGATTGGGTCGTTGGAGTTAACGGATTAAATTTATGTTTAAGAAATTGTACGTGGATAGAAAATTTGATTTTGGACCTTTATCCTTATGACGCAGGAACTGATAGTGGAATCACTTATATGGTACTAAGAAAATTAATAAAAATTATTCTTTTGTAAATAATTTTTTTTAGTCGCCAAACAGTGAAACTAAACCTCGCGAAAAAATGTATAGAATCACTACAACTTATCCGGAAGATCCTAGAGCACCATTTTATGACCCAAGTAAAAATGAAATGCATCCTTTAGCTAGGATGTATTTAACAAGAGAAAAAGTCATTCCAAAATCATGCGATGAAAAATTTTTAAATGCTCAATTAGAAGTGGAGGTTAATGAAAATACGGAAGATACATCAAGAGGTTTTTTTAATCTTAATCATTTCAACAAAAAAATTTTTTTTAAATTTTTGTTGTAGTTGAATGCAGCGTAACCGAATACTCCTCATGGAGCGATTGTTCAGTTACTTGTGGTAAAGGTTTAAGAATGCGCACAAGAGAATATAAAATGCCGCAAAAAGCACAAATGTTTAGTTGTAATCGACAATTAGTTTCAAAGGAAATGTGTGTTGCCGCTGTACCAGAATGCGAAAAGTAAGAAATTTAACAAAGTGATTAATTAATATACATCTTTTTAATTTTAAGCAAACCAGCCGAAGATTCCGAAGAAAAATTAGAAGTAAACGATGGTATTTGCGCAACAACCGAATGGACTCTTTGGTCGGAATGTTCTTCAACTTGCGGAGTTGGAATGAAGACCAGAAGTCGTCAATTTTTGGATGCAATGGGAAGAAAGAAATGTCCTCATATTTCAACAAGTAAATAATTTTTTTTCTATTTAAACGTTTGTAATGGTGCAAAATTCGATTCGAAATTTTGACGAATTTATAGGTTGTGATGGTAATATTGTAATGATTTTATTTAAAGTGTTATAGGATTACCTTGCAGATTATGATCCAAAATGCATGATTTTATTAGATATAGGCTTCTAGCGAGATCAAGGATATGGACTCAATACTGCCATATTGACTCAAAATTACTTATCTTTTGATCCAGAAAGACACAAATATCCGTCGGTACAGATTTTGATTATGAATACTCCAGCACCGTCTAAAGGAGTGACGTGGAGAACGATTTCGTGTGAACAATGACTTGAATTTTGTTTGGTTGCTCCTAAAAAATCTGCAGAACTCGTCGAAAGATGTTTGATGAAATTTCGTTTCATAATAAGCGGTAGATTTCCAGGATATCCTCTAGAAGAATGATGTGGTTTGGAGAGTGAAGAGCTCCGTATTAATCTATGATCGATATCTGTGTATGAACCTTTGAAAACAGATTCCATCTCGATGCCAAATGCCCGAATGCAAGGAACAAGACCTAGGGCTCTAGGGGAAAGTCGACAGCAAGATGGGAGAAGGAAAGGGATTCTTGACGTTCCTGGTCAGAGATATACTTGGTCCAGAAAATGGTGAAAGGAAACCATGGATAGAGAGGCTTGGAGGAAAAAATTGAGGGAAGCCATGATGAAATGCAGTGATAATACCAATTCTACTATGAGCCACAAGATAGCATATAGAACGGCACCAATGCAAACGCTAGTCACTCTAAAAATTTATTTATTTAAGTTCATTTTATCATAAAATCAAATAATGCTTTGTTTCAGTGGAAAAAGAAAAATGTATGGAACCACCATGTCAACCAGATCAAATTGAAGTACCAGATCCGATGTGTCCTGTATCCGAATGGAATGATTTTAGTCCTTGTAGCGCTTCATGTGGAAAAGGAGTTAAATTCCGAACGAGATTATTGCTCGTCGAACCCGGTTTACAAGAAAAATGTAGCTCAAGAGTTGAATTAATGCAACAGAGACCTTGTATGGATTATGTGGATTGCACTTTCGACATGGCAACTGCAAAAAGAGTGTGTATGGAAGAACCAATTCAAGGACCATGCACCGGATACTTTAATAGATGGTACTTTGAACCCAGCAAGCAAATGTGTGTTCCTTTTGTTTATGGGGGTTGTAGAGGAAATCGAAACAATTTCTTAACGGTAGATGAATGCAATGAAGCATGTAAAATAATGAGAGGTAAATTAAGTTAAATTATTATAAACAAAAATTTGTATTTGATAATGTGTTTTTATTAATTTTAACAGGTGAAATACAAAATCCTAATTTAGCACCAACAGCCTCACCTGCAATCGATTGTATGGTTTCTGACTGGTCTCCATGGTCTGGATGTAGCGTTTCTTGTGGTAAAGGTTTTCAATACAGGCAAAGAATGATTAAAAGAGAACCGGAAAATAACGGAAAACCTTGCCCGAATTTAACAAAGAGGAAAAAATGTATTAGAGCACCATGTTTATAAGGAAGTGCAAGTTTATTTTAGTTTTGTAAATTACTTGCAAAAGATTTTAATTTTTTTTGTATAAATTTTTCTTAATTACTGGTAAAAAAAGAAATACAATAAATATAATAATTATGAGTAATTAAATTATATTATTTTTTCCCCCACTTTTCTATCTTTTTGAAGAAAGAAGATGTTTTTGACTAACATTTTTTATATAGATATTTATTTCATTTTTAAAAACATAATTTTAGTCTGGAAGCTACTTTTATTGATATTATATTTGCATTCAACAAAATTATCGTTCATTAATGATGTTTATTGCGTTTTCTTCGGTGTCTATGGTTTCTTTTTTCTGCTTAGTCTAAAAAAGAAACTATTACTAATTATCACTGATTATTTAAAATATAATTTTCTTTGTTGCCTTTTACCTTCGTCTAAAAAGGCTCGAGATCTGGTTCGCAATCAATTGTGATTTCTTGATAGCCACGTTTACACGGAACTTTTACAATAAACAACCGACGTTTAGGAGCTTCTGTTTGCTTTTGATCCATATCATCAATATCTCGCCCTTGAACGTTATAATGTAGGCAAATCGCCAGGAATATAAGAACAAGTAAACGAAAATGCATCGTTCTTGATATTCAAAGATACTAAGATTTGTTAATTTCAAACATATCTATTTCGTATTATATTTCTTATCAGTTTCGCAGATTATTCTTTTTTTAACTATCTTGTTTGTGTTCAACAGAATTATCGTTTATTAATGATGTTTATTAATTTTTGGTGTCTCGATTTTTATAAGAGATCCTCAACAACATTCTGAACGATTTCTGCTGTAACTAGTATTTGTTAAGCTTTACATCATATTATACAGAGTGTTTCTGTAAATCGTAGCATAATTTTAATCCCAAATAGTAGTCAGAATGATGACGATTCGGGTAAAAATTTTTAGTACAAACCCATAAATGGCTAAGATATAGGCCATCAAAGTTAAGAAATTTCTAACATTCTTTTAAATATTTTCAAAATGGTTTGTCTTAGAAAGATTAAATTTGGCAAACAGTGCAATGTTGTTGCACGGGACCAATGCTATACAGAGTGTTCAGCCATTTATGGGTTTAGATCAAAAATTTTTACATGAATCGTCATCATTTTCACCCTACTATTTGTGATTAAAATTATGCCACGACTTACAGAAAAAAACCTGTATATTGTGTGTACTTTTATCATTTCGGTATTGATTCCTTTGTTATTTCAACTTTTATATTTATGCATTTGTTGAAATTTTCATGCTTGTAATTCTTCCTTTCTATGTGGCACACTGGTAAAGAATGTAGGTAACTTTATTTTTCCGAGTGTGCATTTTATAGTGTAACTTGAAGCAGCTGCCAAAACATTTTTTAAACATAATACACTAGCTCTATTAATATGATATGATAGCCAATAAGTCCAAGGCACAAAAAATAACCATATGGCTCGTTGTATATTAGTAACCAGCATGAATGAATACGTGATATATAGTTCCACTGCCAACAGTAGATAGTTTTGAACCTGATTTGTTCAAAATGTTGAGTAATGGGATACAGCGGATAATGTCGACCGAGGGTTGGATTAAAAGGAGTTGACAGAGCAATGTGTTAAGCGTAAAATTTGATACAAATTTTGTTCAAAAAGTTTTCTGTAACATACTCCGAATACCGAGTTTTACCATAAACAACTTGTTAAACTACGTATTCTTCTAAATTTCATATTTCCGTATTGTTCTCGACATTTTCTCGAGCAAAAGTGAAAGAGAGCATTGTTGTTGAGAATAAAATTTGCTACAACTTTGATTGAAAAAGTTTTTCTGTAACATGCTCCAAATCTTGAGTTTTACCATTAATAACTTGTGAAACTACGAATTCATCTAATTTTCATATTTCCGTATTTTTCTGGCCTTTTGTGCATCTGAGAGAAAAGTGAAAGAGAGCATTGTTGTTAAGAATAAAATTTGCTACAACTTTTGTTCTAAAAGTTTTTTACAACAAAACGAAACCATCAGTTCATTTTGATAAAATGATGAAGGTTATTTTTTTGATATAAAGGAAAATGATTGCGGCTGAGAAAATCTTTAATCTTTATTTTGAAGATTTAATACAATAAATCAATAACAATTCAATGATGTTTATGATGTTTTTTATCACCTAAATTCATAAAATGAATAATTAAAAAAATAGAATTAAAAAATTAAAATAACTTACTTGGTCCAGGATTTACCACTGTTGGTTCTTGTGAAATTGTTGATACATCTGGTTGTTCTGTTGTAGATGATTCAGGACATGGACGGCAAGGACAATAATGTGGAATATACCTTTTGTTTATATCTATAAAAAAATTCATTTAAACAACTAGTTTATCACGAATTATTATTTAAAATTTATACCTTTACCATTTCTAACAGCGTGATGTTTTTTATTAGGAGCATTAAAAATCTTTTTATTATGAAACATATGTCGTTTATTCTGAGAAGATTCTGTTGGAATCGTATCAATTGCTTCAGTCGTTTCAGTTGTTTCATTTGGACAAATAACTCCACAAGGACATGCAATAGCGGATCCGGGTTCCGATATAGGTGGATAAGAGTAAATGTTTGGAGTTGTAGTTTCAGTGGGAGAATCAGAAGAAATTTCAGTCGATATGGGGTCACCGTCACGAAGTTGATGGTGATGTTTCTTAATATAATGACGATGGGAGGCTTAAGTTTAAAATATATGTTAGCTTGAAGTAAATACACAAAAATTTTTTTATTTTACCTGAAAAAGCTTCGCAGGCAACGCCTAAAGAAATAATGAGGAAAACAAATTTCATTTTTATTTCTATAATAAATACGAATACACTAATTTCGCAAAATAAAACAACGCCTTTAAATATATACTTCAACAATGATGGCTATGTGTTGTTTAAATATCTTCTAAATTTATAAATAATTCGTGTCATGATCGCTTTTGTTATGCAGTTATACTATGTTGTCAATGTAATAGTTGCAATAACTTTATGGGAGTACGTAGAATGACAACCACTTCCTAGAAAAACTTTTATTAATATGATATTAATTTTACATATGTAAAACAATAAAGCTATAATAAATATAAAACTCAGCCTTTTTTAAATAATTAACAAATTATTAATGATTTATTTTAACAACTTTAAGCAAAAGGTAATGATGTGTGATATAGAAAGAAAAACTTTTAAATCAACTACAATTCATATAGCAAATTCTAGAATTTCAAAAATTATTGATTTACTTAAGCTGAAACAATCGTGTTGTAAAGATGATTAAAATCAGTGATGATTTTTCTTCGTATCATGGTGCTTAACATGATGTGCTTTTACGTTATGGTGTTTTTTACCATCTGAATAAAAAGAATATTAAAATATAAAATAGGAAAATATGTTAGTTACTTACGTCAGTTTTGAGGTGCTTCCGTGGTTGATGAAGTTCCTTCACTTACAGTAGTTTCAGTACTTTCAGTAGTTTTTTGATTTTGAATACTTTCTGGATTCTTTGTTGTTGTAGTACTTGTAGTACCATTATTACATCGACTAACATTACATAGGTTTAAAATATATACTATATGCGATTAGCTAACATTTTTTGGTTCACAAGATTACGTATAGTTGATGTGGTTTGATAGTATTCTTCAGTCAAATTAAGACTCTTCCTCCCATAAAATCACCGAAGGCAGCAAATTTACAATCTTTATTAAAAACGACATTTCGCCTAGACAGAACTGGGCATAAACACGTCTTAGACAAGCAAGTTTCGAACAGAAACACAACATCATCACAAACGAACACGAAAAACGCAATAGAACATGCGACTTAACACAAATACCATGCACATGTTAATAATAACAGTGCGGAGGGTTATAACTATGTGCTAAATTTATTAATCTTAGAACTTTGCACTTCGATGAAGGGGAGTGATAAAATTTTGCCATACCTCACAATCTTTCAATCAATTAAACTTAATGTAACCATAATGTAAGTTCCTATAAGTAGACGAGGATTTAAGATTAAATAACCAAATCATACTAAGCAATATGAACCATTCAATGATATGTAATAATATCCAGTCTGAGCGAGCATCAAAAATCATCAAATCATCAAAAGTCAATGAACTGGGTAATAACGAGACTTAGATGCTGATACGGAGGATGACATAGAGGTGGTCTCGCAATTGGTATATTTTCGAAGAATACTGGCGGCCAACAAAGTTTTCTATACAATAGCTCATATAATCAAATCTAAATATATATTTATATAGGAACATAAAATGCCGAATCTACAAAAACATGTTAATGCCTATAATGACATATGACTGTGAAAACAGCATAGATGTCTTCGAGTGGAAGATCCTTAGAAGAATTGTAACACCGATATATGAGCATAATAACTAATAACAGCTGACATAATACATGAGAATAACCAAGAACTATACAGCTACTACAAGGAGACAATGCACTCAGGGTACATCAAGATGTAAAGATTGCAATAGACAAAACATGTGGTCAGGATGAAGGAGGAATAAATACAGAAGCAACTACTTAACAAGAGAATGCAAGGAGCGAGACTTAGGGGAAGATCAAGAGCAAGATGGGAGGACGAGAGCAATCCTTGGTGTACCTGTCCAGAAGTATGCTTTGTCCAGAAAATGATGGAGGGAGACCATGGATAGACAGGCTCGGAGGCAAAAATTAGGGAAGCCTAGCCGCTAGTATATAGCCAAATATTAATAGTTAAATAAACATAAAGTTAAATAATATAATCAGTGGCGGCGCTACGTACATTCAAAGCAGGCAGCCGCCTATAGCGGCCAAAATTAGGGGCTGCCGAAACCACGTTCCTGTCAGGCATAAAAAAACTGATATTAATCACGACTATCAGAAGTTATTCTTACACTAACTAAATAAAATTTGCCATTTAGAGGAAAATCTGATGTACTCTTTAAAAAAAATAACGGAGTGTTTTTGAAATTTATTGAATGTCTAGGTTTATAGGATCCAATCCTTAAAGAACATCTTCGACGTATAACGTCTAAAGAGACACAGGTTCATTATCTTAGTAAAGACATACAAAATGAATTAGTAGGTTTATTGGCACAAATGACTAAAAAGATAATTACAGAAATGGCAAAAAAGCCGAATTTTATTCTGTAATCGTGGAAACAAGTCCCGATATCAGCCACAAAGAACAACTTACATAATAATTAGATTTGTTAACACCGAATCAAAGAATACATATTTGGTGGAAGAACATTTTATTGAATTTCATCTACTACTAATTTAACATTAAAAAAAATTTAACATTAATGCGATCAGGCTCGTTAGATTTTTGTCCCGTCACTTTTTGGTATTGTAGAACACACGTCTTTGCTGGGTTCTCTTGGAAATAATACTAAAGTAGATGTAAGCAATATATTAGAGAAGTTTAATTATCAGTTCATATGCATTACAATAATTTGGTATAATATACTTTTGATGTTAACAGAGTAAATCTTCTACTACAAAGCCTAAAGTGCACGGTTTGTGCAGCAGTTAAAACAATTGAACAGGTTGCAAATATAATCTAAAAAAAACTGAGAAGTGACAAAGAGTATCAAAAATTGTTAGTTATAGCGTCTGAACTAGCAAATTTAGTAAACGTACAACGAATCTTTACAGAAATCAGATTAAGACGTCGAAAACGCAATTTCAATAATGAAATTTTTGACAACCCAATACAAGATTCGTTACAAAAATTTAAAGTTGATGTAAAAGTAATTTAATTTTAATTAAGTAATGTACTTGACATAGCGATTCATTCAATAGCGGAGCGTTTTCAACATACATTCGGATTTTTGCACAATCTTGCCCACCTAAGAAATTGGGAAAAGACGACATGAGGACGTCATAAAGCAAAGTATGAATTTGGAGATTACTCTTATACATAACAATAGAAAAGACATCGACGGCATCCAGCTGGCGGAAGAGTTGAGTTTTATTTCAAAACTTTTAAACTCAGGTGACACACCTTATGAAGTTTTGAAATATATTTTAAACAACAACTTCATTGTTATGTATCCAAATCTTTATATCGCTTTGAAAATCCAAAGAGAATTTTAACAAATTTATATTTGTTAGACTGCAATTCGCAACTTGTTCAATAAATAAATAGAAATAAATCAAAATGAAACATTACACTTTCGACATGGCAACTGCAAAAAAGGAGTGTATATATGGAAGAGCCAATTCAAGGATCGTGCACCGGATACTTTAATAGATGGTACTTTGAACCCAGTAAGCAAATGTGTGTTTCTTTTGTTTGTGGGGGTTATAGAGAAAAACGAAATAATTTCTTAACAGTAGATGAATGCAATAAAGCATGTAAAATAATGAGAGGTAAATTCAGTTATTATGAATAAAAAAATTATATGAGATAATGTGTTTCTTTTATTTCAGCTGGTGGAATAGAAAACCCTAATTTAGCACCAACTACCTCACCTGTAATCGATTGTATAGTTTCTGACTGGTCTCCATGGTCTGGATGTAGGGTTTCTTATGGAAAAGGTTATCATGCAGACAAAGAATATTTAAAAGAGAACTGAAAAATAAAGGAAAACCTTGCCCGAATTTAACAAAGAGGAAAAAATGTATAAGAACACCATGTTTATAAGGAAGTGCAAGTTTATTTTTAGTTTTGTAAATTACTTCCAAAAGATTTAAATTTTTTTTAATATAAAGTGTTCTTAATTACTGGTACAAAAAGAAATACAAAAAAGAAATATAGTAATTATATTGAATTAATGTATTACTATTTCCTCCACCTGCCTTTTTTTTGAAGAAATCAACTTTGCTACATTTCCCATTAGAACACTCAAAACGTCCTGAATCTTATTCGCAATTGAGAATAAATTAGCATCTGATTTTTTTGGTAGTAATTAAATTCCGACGTCATTTTATTTGGATAAACTTGACTAACATTTTTTATATAGATATTTACAAAATTAACAAAATTATCGTTCATTAATGATGTTTATTGCGTTTTCTTTAGTGTCTATGCTTTATTTTTCTGTTTAATCTAAAAAACAATCTATTAATAATTATCACTGATTATTTAAAATATAATTTTCTTTGTTGCCTTTTACCTTCTTAACATTTAATTGTTTGCAAACATTTCCGATTTTTATATGTCCAGGTCTACACGGAGCGATTACAACAGACAACCGACGTTTAGGAGCTGGTGTTTGATATTGATCAATATTATCAATATCTCGCCCTTGAACGTTATAATATAGGCAAATCGCCAAGAATATAAGAGTAAGTAAACGAAAATGCATTGTTCTTAATATTCAAAGATACTAAAGAGTTTAATTTCAAACGTATCTTTTTATTTCTTATCTGTGTCACAGATTATTCTTTTTTTAACTGTTATGTTTTCTTACTGTGGCAAAAACAATGCTCTGGATCAGTGATGGCGAACCTATGACTCGTGAATCAGTGTCTGACCCACGCAAGATTTTTAACTGACCCACGATTGCTAGACAACCATTTGTTTGTTTACGCCCGTTTATTTAGATTTTCTAAATTGTGCGGATAATTTATATTCAGTTTGTATTTTTTTTCAAGCATTGCATTAACACAAAAGCAATTTGAAAAAATCTACAAACAAAGCTATTAACTATATTTAAAACACTTTCTTCAGATAAAATGTACAATTAAGAATGTAGACTGTAGTACAACTAAGAATGTAGTATTAAAATGTAGAATTAGAAAAAAATATTTCTTCGCAAATACACAACGACTTAAATTATGGAGAAATGGTTACGCACAATTAGCAGTTTTTGCTCGGTATGCTGGAAATATAATGAAAGAAGAGTTATTAAAACTAATAACGTTGAAACGGTAGTGTACAGGTCTTGATATTTCTAAAGAATTTGATATTGCATGTAAAGAAATTGATATTGATGTTCAGAAAATAGTTTCTGTACCAACAAGGCGCACCTACTATGACAGGGAAAAACATTGGATTCATTGAGAATCTTAAGCAAAATATTTCACATTCTCTGATTGAATTTCATTGCATAATACACCAACAAATGTTATGTGCGAAGCATCGTTTAAAAACATTTTCCAGTGTAATGTCAATTGTAATAAAAATAATCAACTTTATAAACGCAAGAGTTCTTAATAAACGGCTATATTCACAATTCTTAGAGGAAATTGAATGCCAATATTCAAAAACGTGCGATGGCTTAGCTTTGGACAAGTCCTTAATCGCTTTGTAACGTTATTAGTTATTATTAGAAATTAAGCTCTTTTTAATTGTAAAAGACAATATTTACAAACATTCGATATATATCAATAGGACAGTTTTTAATGCGTTATGGCCTATCCAGAGCAACAACAACGCTGATTCTAAAGACGCAAAAAAAATTTTTGAAGAAAACGATTATAGTAAAAGATCCTCAACAACATTCTGAACGATTCCTGCTGTAACTAATATTTGTTAGACTTTACATCATATCCTATGCCACTTCAACTTTTATATTTATGCATTTGTTGCGATTGTCATGCATGTAATTCTTCGTTCCTAGGTATGTGGCAAAATAACAACGAATTGTTGAACTATTATCATTGACTTTTAAAGATGATTCAGGCAAATCCAAACCTTTTATCACAAACGCTATGGATGCATGAAGATGCTCTTGCAGGTCATTTTGGTATGTTGTGCACGTGGTTTGGGAAAGGACCAAAAATCCATTAAATTTTCTGCTAACCGGCTGAAGGTTCTTGCGTGCGGTTGTCTTATTTCCGGACACCTTGTGAAATATAATTCCGCGACTAACGTCGCATTCTTTTCTGATAACATATAGCATTCCATCATGTTACATTTTTGATAATTTTCGAAATTCATTGTAAAGTTTTATTCAGTTTTGTTATACTTTGACACTTAACATGCTGGTGCTTCGTTCACATAATGCCAGAGTTGTTATCGAATTTTTAAATGCAAACTTTGGCAATTATTTGATACATTATGTTCCATCATAGTATGTATGGCTATCACCATAGTAACATTAACTTTTAAATACATACATTAGTTTTAGATAGAACAAAATGAATTTTTGTTAATTATTATTCAATAACTATAAGAAATATACCCGACAAACTATATATATTTGTTATCAAAAGAAAATAACAAATTATTTTAGGTCATAGCCAACTATGGTTTCCATTTAAAAAAATATATAATATAATATATAATGATTTATTTATAAGACTCCATCTTTGATAATAAGTGAGATATTCGCGATTGTCGTTTTCGCAAAATTTTCAGTTTTTGCCGATAGGGCGAAAATAAAAGACGATCGCTGTTCAGAGTTTTCGGCATTAGCATTTTCTCGAAAAACGAGATCATGACATGTAAGCTACTTTTTTTCTATCTCTTTTATTTTCGGAGATAGAGCCTATGCGGACATCGAAATTGGACACTCTGTACAACAAAAGGTAAACCGGAAACATATTCTAAATCAAATTTATTTATGCATTCTAATAACAGTATGAAACAAACCAGAAAAAAATTAATATTTTATTTATGTTTTGTAGACTAATTTATTTAGATTTAGTCATTTCAATTGGATGGTTTCATAAAACTGGTGATGGTAGTTTGGCGACATAAATTCTTTTTCTTCTCACGTAGGATTTATTGATAGCAGGCAATCGATTGCTCTATTCTTCTCTTTACTGTCATAATGCGTTCTTCATTATTATCTATTTCTTCTAAAACCTTTATGCCATTTTGTATGCAATTAAGCCCTTCTGTGAATTTTGCGATGGTTAGGGTATTTTCCGGCTGTGCTGGTTCAACATTACTTTCTTCACAGTCATTTTGTTTTTGCATTTCAATCACATCTTGCACAGTAAGCTCCGCATCATACGACTCTAAGAGCACAATGACATCTTCATTATCAACTACCAAATCGACTTGTTTTCCTAAAGTAACAATATTTAGTACTACTTCGGTTATATCGTTTTCTGGCGCTGTTTCTGGTGAGTCAGCGAAAAAGTCCGAGCAAAGTTTTTTCCAAACCCCCTTCAGGGACCCCGTTCAGTATAATAAGCTTTAAATGTTTTTTTTGTAATTCGCGGCGGTAATGAAAGCTCTAACAGTACTCAAACGGGTGCTGTAATGAGACTCCTTACAGCATCCGATGCTGTAATGAGATTTTAGTAACATTTTATGGAACCAGTTCAAGTTGGTGACATTGGGTCATTAATTTTTCTAGTTGTCAATGTGACAATTTTTGTCTATGGATGTTTAAACACGTTCTTAGCATCGAATACAAGGTCCACAATGAACAGTACTCAAACGGGTG